TATTGAGAAGCCATCGGGACTGAAATGAAGTCGAGAGAAGACAAGGATAGGGAGGTGACTTGGTTGCCGTTTACATATTCCTGTGTGGGTAACAAAAACAGAAGCGTGAGAGAACCTCCCTGAATAAACATATATGGGATTTTTAGTGACAAAGGTGAAGCTAAGCAGACTTGAGAGGGGGGAAAAAAATCGACTTCCTCTAAGCAGTGAGGGTGACAACAGACGTGCTTTTTCCCTTGCCTCACCCGATCACTGAGGTGTGGGGTGGTTTTTGCTGTTTTTTCCTCTCTCAAGTCTCAATGATGTATCCTTCTATAAAGTCCACGCTCTGTCACAAACTTTTTTTTTTTTTTTTGAGTTAAATCAGAAGATAATAGATGGAAATCCACCATGAAGCAGCTTCTAGGTTACTTTGTCAGTGAGTAACTTCACGGGTAAAGAAATGGGATTGGAATTGGGAAATGAACAAAAAATGACCTGCTTTGCTCTTCGTGGTATGGTGGTAACCCAGTTCTTCCACCTGGATGCGAGGAGTGGCCTGTGGGTGGCCCTCGGCTACATATAAAGTGTGAGCAGGCAAAGGCCAGCTCCTTTACAGGGACTGCTTTTTGGGAAAGCGGGGGCTGGAAGTGGAGGTGCTGGGTACTGGTTTGCTCTGGAAGGAAGGAAAGGTGACAGGAGCAGCTGAGGAACAAATATGTTCTTTGGACAGCATTGCTGCTGCCTTGCCAGCTGTGTCTGGGGGTCCTCTCCTGTGTTCATCAGCAGCAATGTTCCTGTATGTGAGCCCCGAAGGGTGGTTGTCCCTTAGCCAAGCCCATTCCCAGTTTTTGTTTTTCCTGGAGGATTTCTCTAATGAGAAAATGCATGAAGGAAAGAGGTCCCCACATTGCCAGGGTAATGATTTACCAGGAAGTAATCCTGGACGTAAAGCAGCATGGGCATGACAGCCACTTCAGCGTCTGCTGATGTGCACGCTTGCTCCATGGTAAATACAGCTAGTGAGCACAGCTGGGGGGTGGCTGCACAGCAGGCTTCTCAGCCTTCAAGTTCCTTCTTGAAGAAAGTAAGTTGACTTTTTTTAGGGTGACTGTCTGTTTACTCTTGGTATGTACCTATTCAGAGGTGCTGTTATCCAAAGAACTTGAGGTTAATAATGTCTGAATACGCCAAACACTTTGCCTTAGTCATGTGCATGGAGACATCTGTAAAACTGGACGATAGCAAAGATATCACTTCTTGTTTCAATCATGATTCACTTGTTGAAGATACTGACTTTCCATCTCCAAGCTGAGGATTTTCCTGTTGTGGTGGAATTCTTCTCCTCATTCACCTATAATTAGATCTGTAACGACACACTAGACTTCTCCCCGCCATCCCCCAGCCCCCCACCAGTAATGATCTGGTTCTAAAGTGAATTTTAATCCTCACTTGAAGGAGGATTCTTAAAATATTTAGCAATGTGTTGCCTCTATTGTCTTTTCCCCAAACAGCTTTTTTTTGTTCTAGTTTTTCTCCTAGAGCAGTAGGAGTGAGTCAAGCAAGGCTGTAGTAGTATACCCAAGGGAAAATTGGCTGCCTTTAAGGAGTTTATCCTTGAACTTAATCTGTTTACTTGTTTGATGTTACCTTGAGGAGCAGAGATGTAACATTTCATTTGAAGGTTGATTACTTTCTTAACTGTGCATGATGTGGCATTTTCCTTTTGTGCTTTTGCGTTGGAGATTGCTTTATGTACTTGGATGTTAGGTGCGCTCTGTCAGCTTCCATTGACTGAATAGTTTCTTGCAAGGACTTTTTCTCTCTTCTGTGCTGACTAAAGAAAGATCAAAGCATTATCAATTTCAGTTATGGAAAACTAAAGGTGTGAGAACTTGTAATTTAATCACTTATAAAATACTTGCTGGCTTAATTAAGGTTTGTTCAACTGGAGCTAAGCCACAGAAATGGTTTCTCTTATGGAGTTTGTCAGCTGCTGAGATCTGCAGAACTGCTGAATGGAGCAGAGATTGCCCCTTTAACAAATGTTGTGTCTTTGCACGGGCCTCCGTGGTGTTGTGGGGGACTTTGAGGATAGCAGGCTTTTGGATTGTTTAACCCTTCTCCACACTTACTGATTTTTGGCTTCCACATAGAAGTGTCCACAGCATGTCTCTGTCTGGGCAAACATTTGACAAAACACGAAAGGAGACCTGTAAATGCTCCTTGGGACATACTGTCTATGTCCACATCCCTAAGCCATCTCTCACCCTCTTCCCCTGTGCCTTTGAAAGAACTATGGGCCTGTCAGCTGAAAGAAGCTGAGCGAGAACACCATATTCTACACCTTTTATAGCCTGAGAGTGATGTGCCTAGGAGAAAGAGCTTACCCCGAGCTTCCTCAGGCACCTCAGAGGTAAAACTCTGATTTGAGTAGTTCTTCCTTATAGGCACAGGTGTAAAACATCTCAAAGAGTCGTTTGAGTAATCTGCTTCCCCTTGCTGTATAGCGTTTAATGTATATCAGCAACTGTCTGCAAGTTCAGTGATGATCACTTCTGACAGTCATTCTTCAGTGCTGTACTCAGTATTAATATTATTGCCTCCCCCTTGTTTTGCAGCAGATCTTAAGGTTTCACTGCCACCCACTCATGTACCAGATTTCACATCAACCACAGAGAAGAGGAAAACTTTACTCAGCCTCTTGGCAATCATCCCACTTCTGGGCTTTGGGTTGCCAGTGATCAGTACAACATCTATTGCAGAAGTGTATGCAAATGAATATTATGTAAACTATTCTTTTCTAGATGCTCTAAGTTAGGAGTGGGAACACTTTTCGATGTGGTTGAGTTCCAGCATGTGTCTTCCTTCAGCAAAGATGATGAACTCTGATGACATGTATTTTTTTTCCCATTATGTAAACTGGTATGAGGTGAGCATCATAGGATGAGCAGGCTGGTACCCCGTAAGCTACCAGCAGCTTGTTTGTAATTGCTGAGAGTAGGCGTCAGCTATCCAAGAATTAGGTAGGCCTCATAAGAGGCCTCAAGAATTAGGTAGGTTTGTTTCTCTTGAGTCTTCTGAATGGCAATTTCCCCTCATCTTGAAATTTTGGGCTTGATTTCCAGGTTCTGGGGACTCTGAGCCTGAAGAACAGGTGCTGTGCAGTATCAACAACGTAGGTCCAAAGCATTATCAAGCGTTATGGGTTTGGTAGTGTCTTTCAAATCTCAGTGTCAGGAGGCTTTGTTTTAGGGGAAACTAAAGCAAGAGCTCACATTGCTAAGGATTACCTCAAAGAACTATTGAAAACTAATGGATCAGCATAACTACAGCTGTGTCTGATAGAAAAGAGTGTTTCTCTGAGTGGTGGATGAAGTGTGGTGTTCTTACGATAGAAACAGCTTTGGCATTTGGTAGGATCAAGTAGTATAAAAAGAAAGTCACAGGTGCAGCTGTTTAAGTTGCGTGTATGTTTTAATGGATTGAATACCTGGAAAAACTTGTAACGTTTACCTTTCGAGCATTTGTTTGTTGCGCAAACAATTTTTTTGCTCTTGTTGCTTATCAGAGAATGTTTCAAACTTGTGTAACACACCAGTTCTTACTCAGAAATTTGCAGAGAAGTGGACTTATTGGTAAGCTGAAATAAGAGTGGAGAATTTCAGTGAAGAAAAATTGAATGTAGAATAGCTGCATCTTTTTTTTTTTTTTGTAAGAAATAAGCATTCAACACTTCTGCAGGATTTGGGGAGAATAAGTTGGCTTTTAGTGGGAGTCTTATTAAATCTTCTGGCAAATGCTCTAAGCTTTGTGTCAATGTTACAGTTTCACATAAGTTGTTAAAGCAATTAATTTATATTAGGCATCATTTCTTTGATGTGCTGCTTCATGATACAGACAATGCACTGGATTTTGTAGGCTTTGAGATTTCTTTTTTTTTTCCCTCCCTTACAAAACACAGTTCCTCCCTCTGCTGAACAAGACAAGCTTTGTAGGCTTTGTTTTCTTTCCTTCCCCTTCTCCTCCTCCTTCCTCCTACACTTTGCGTGGGGGGTTTTGATTTGGTTTGTGGGTTTTTTGTTGTTGGTTGGTTTTGGTTGTGTTTTTTTCCTATTTCTGCCACCTAGTCTGCTCCAAACACTTAGTGCACAGACTGTATTTAACTACTTGATGCTTTTTCAAAGTGTAGTGTTAAAATGAGGTTGCAGAGCAGGATGCTAAGCTATTAATTCAGTTTACTGACAGGTAGGCCTGAAAAATCAATGCAGCAGTTAGAGACACATCTGCTGTATGCTTTTTCCCTGAGGTTTCCACCTCCACAGCAACACCAGTAGAAGGGCATGTGATTACCTTCACATGCAGATTATGCGGAGGGAGTAGGTCTACACAGAGATGCTAGACTGTTTCACGATAGGTTTCTGTTTCCTTTCCTCATCTTTGCTGTAAATGAGGTAAGCTCTGACAAGGACACTGGGCGAGTTGCTGGCCATAGCTGACACACCAGTAGCGATGGTGTGGGTCATCCGCTTTTAGTAAAGCTACTAATTTGCTTTTGATAATATAAACATTCAGTTCAATACTAATCCTTGACTTCTGACATTTTGGTTCAAGCGTGCTAATTAGCATGTGAACTCTAAGTACATAAAACCACAGACATTGTACTTCTGGTTTTGGTATAAAATAATTACCATGGGTAAGAGTGCTTCTTCACACTGTTGGCTTCAAAGGCTTACGTTCCCTAAGGAGATGTAACAGATGTAACAATTATTGCCATGTACTAGCATCCCATTGCTGGAGAGCTGATCGGTTCTTCCAGGTGCTAGCTGCATTTAAGAGCTGTGTAGCTGGGAACATAAGATTTGTCTGCTGCTATTGAACCAAACAAGTGTGAAGTGCTCAATGCAAGCTCACAGCCTTATCAGCAGGAGATCAAAGACTGCAGGGAGAAAGTACGTGGTCTTTATTCACTTCTTCAGCAGTTCCTTCCTTACCTTTTGTCTTCTGTTTAAACAATATAGGCAAACAATGCCAGTGATCCTTGGTCGAGCTGGAATGTTGGGAAGTCTGGGAACTGGGATAATGGAAACTCTGGTGACGGCTGGGCGACGAAACCTGAAAGTGCAGGTAGCCAGAGGAACAGTGCTTTGAATAACTGGGATACAGCAGCAGCATTTGGTCATCCCCAGGCATATCAAGGACCAGGTGTGCTAATAATACTTTTATTTTTAATAGAGTAGGTGGACAGTAGATGTGGGAACTGCCTCATCTTTCGTAACTATAGAACATTTTTTACTTAAATACAACAATAAAAAATAAATACTTTTCCTGGTAGCAAATTACCAAGTGGATAAACTGAATACTAAAATAATGCTTTTCTTTTAATACTTTTAAAATTAATTTCATTTTAAAAAAATCAGATCCACAATAACAAATGTCTCAAACCTGTATGGAAATCTGGCAAGCCAAAAAGTCTTGTGCACAAATGATCTATTCTCAGGCATGTTGTTCAACTTGCATTAACTGGAACTTAAATGCAATTGAATTTGTACCCTCAGGCCTGTGAAGTAGAAGTCTCCAAGTCCTTGATTTTTGGGAAGTATCTAGAAGTAATCTATCTTTCAGAAGGCTCCTCACTTTTTTTGTGGTAAAGACCTAAATTAGAGGAGAACTCATAACTGGGGAATACTAACCTGGAGTATATGAATATGTAAGACCAGTGATTTATTATTTTTTTTAACACACCAGCATCTCTCTTTAATGTCTGCCTCCCTCCTCCCCCTCCAATGGATTTCTAGTGTAGTGTTTTGCAGGATGTATTTGATGGGGATGATGATAACTGAAGAAGAATCACAAAATACAAGGTTCAACTAGCTCATCAGTATTATTACATTGTTGATTGTGTATGAATGCTGAGGAGGTTGCTTCTGCTTTTTAAAGAGAAAACATTTAACTTTTTTCTTCCCCTACGTTAGCAGCTGCTGATGACGATGATTGGGATGATGACTGGGATGACCCAAAATCATCTTCACCATCTTATCTTGGTTACAAGGAGACTGAGTCGTCAGAGGCTGGGGGTCCTCAGCGTGCAAACTCTCGTGCAGCTGCTATGAAGTTACCACTTAACAAGTAATGGAAAATGCAGGATGAATGCGTATTTAATGAATTGGAATTTGTAGAGTTGTATAAATGTATTCCTATTAAACCTTATTGAAATATGCAGTGTACATATTAGTTTTGGGGTTAAAATTGGAGGTGGATTCAGCACTGACTATTTGTGATCAGAAAATGCACATTCATGAAAGCCTGAAAGTACATGACAACCTATTTTTGGAAATGTTACACAGGCAAAAGATGCTTTTACAAGTGCTGAATTTCTGGACCCGCTGTTCTTTAAATTTTTAATTATCTTTAGCACTATATGTGCTTAGTGAAAATGAAAGCTGATGGCGTGTGCATACAGCAAGACTAATCAGGCATGCTGCTACAGAATTATTGAGCAATTAGTGTTGCTAGGAGTGGAAAGATTGTTCTGCTGTCTTGTGAGTATCAGCCCAGGTTGATTCTTAAGCCATAGTAAGCTTGATTTTACTTTTGGATTGGCAAATATAGATAAAATCTTACAGTAGCATGAAGTTTGGTCTGTTATACATTATTTTATGTTGCAACTTAATGTTTTTTTATTCTAAAATTACTGTTACTCTGAGAAGTTACCCTGTGGTAATCTTTAAATGAATGAAAGCAGAACAGAAAACAGTTGTACAGCGATGGTCTCCCCAGGTACATAACTAAAATTAATGACTGGTCATGCAGAGATGGTTGATTTTGTTCATCAGTGGATGTTTTATGCAGTCTTGCAAGAGTACCTCTCCATCATTCTGACATCTTCTTGTTGCAAACTCATTTAGTTTGACCAGCATAAACACGCTTTAAGAGCATTATTTGTCTGTAAAGCAAGCCATACGTCTAGTGTTTCTGCAAGCAAACAGTAGGTAGGCAGTACTTCAAGGGCTAAGTATCTTAATTAAAAAAAGAACTACTGTTTGCTTTTTGTAAAGCTTTTTACAGACTTTAAGGACACTATGGTGGTTTTTATGTGGTTTTATTTCGAATTATTTAACTCATGCTTAGAAGTACTTGTTAAATCTACAATGTGTTGTTCTTTTGGATGATTGAATTCAAGTTGTCTGAAACAGCAAGGTTTGCATGTGTGTGCACACTTGCAGACTGGGCTGCAATGAACAAAGTGGCAAATGCTGCTTCATGTTCTGGTATTACATTTGCTCTGATGGTCTGCAGAGCACATGTAGCTACTTCTGCCCTTCAAGAAGTGGGCTGCATTCTGTAGATAAAAGCTGGCAGTTGGTAGCTCAAACTGTTCTGCTTTTTCAGGGCAAATAGTTGATAATCCATGGTACAGTTTTCTACTCTTGAGAAATGCTAAGCTTTATTCTTAGTGGTTGGGAATTCCGTACGTGTCAAAAGGGAATGCAGAGTAAACTTCTCACTTTGTTTTCATTAGATTTCCTGGATTTGCAAAACCTGGAATGGAACAGTATCTGTTGGCAAAGCAGCTAGCAAAACCGAAAGAGAAGATTCCCATAATTGTAAGCAGTGTGTGTGTGTGGCTCTTGTTTGGTGGGTTGATTGTTGTTGTTTTTTATTATTTTTTATTGGGGGGGGGAGGGGAGGATGTTGAAGAGGGATGTGAAGGGAAGTGGTGGTGGTTGCTTTTTGCTTTTTTTGCTTCTGTTTTTTCTTTTAAATCTCCCCACCCTTCCATTCTTCCCCATGCTAATTGTTAGGCTTAGGCTAGTCACATGAACGTGGGTTAGGTGAAATGGGTGCTTAACCCGTAACTAGAAATACAACCATCATCATGAAACTACAATATTTAAGCATTTTAATGTCGCATAGATAACACTTCAGAGTATCACTGAGAAGTTTCGTCAGGGTCTAGTCCTAACTCATTTCTAAATGTGCTGATATATTTTTTTTAAATTCTTCTTAGTTTTTCTTACATGCATTAATTGTGGTTGTGAAAATAAGCCTTTTTGAGGTGAAGGGTGCAGAACAAATTCATTACACTGTCTATCAGCTTTTTAGATAGTTGTCAATTACAGTAGAACTGCATTCAAAAAGGCTTGCAATATTCAGTCATGATGGCCAGGTCATCTTCTGATCTAATAAACAGACTGTTCTAGATATATGCTATTATAATGAAATGTGACTGAAGTAGCAATTTCTACAATTCACTGTTCCTTAATTGTGTGGGAAAAATTGTAAAATACAGAGAACATGAACACAACTGTGGTGAATTATCTTTGGCTGCAAGAAACTCTTGTGTTTCCTGATTCTCAGGCTCTCACTGAAATTAATGGAGACAATTAGGAACTCTGTTTTCAAAATACTCTTAATTCATACTGAAAGTATTGTTTTCCTTGTTTGAAGCTGGAACAACATAATACATTGAATTAAACACAGTAATATTTGCAATTTCTTGCAGATCGGTGATTATGGCCCAATGTGGGTTTATCCTACCTCTACATTTGACTGTGTCGTGGCAGATCCCAAAAAAGGTTCTAAAATGTATGGTCTCAAGAGCTACATTGAGTATCAGCTGACCTGCACTGTAAGTGTATCTGAAACAGGATCATCTCTCTCACAGATATGGGTCATTTCTACATATAATACAGCTCGTGTTATTTAGTAGCAGGGTTGTAAGTGATAGTTTTTACAAGTTTTCCACCAGGAAAACAAGGAATACTTGTAAATATTGTTTTATTTTCTTGTTTTATTTTCTAGCATTTCAAGTTCTTCTGAATCTATAGACTCAAGGCTGTAAATCAAATTTTATTTATATTCCATATATTTACTGTTCCGGTCACACTTGTTTCATGTCACTCTCTCTTGATGCCTGTCAAAATTCAGAGTTGTCTTTCTTTTACAGAACACTAATCGGTCTGTCAACCACAGATACAAGCACTTTGACTGGTTGTATGAGCGTCTCCTGGTTAAATTTGGATTAGCCATTCCAATTCCATCTCTTCCAGACAAGCAAGTAACAGGTAAATGTTTCCCAGCTGTGGGTTCACAAGAAGAGAAATCAGGAGATAACTTCTGTTCAACGTTCAATTATTTCTTACAATTTGTGTTTTTTTCTGTATTATGTTTAAAGAAGATATTAAAAAATACTGTTGCTAAAAAAAAACACCACTACTAAACTTAGTTTTTTTATTTAAATAATTTAATTTTAAATTATCTAAAACTGGGCCATTGATTTAAAAACAAATAGTGGATTTAAAAAAAAAAATCCTTATTATTACAGAAGAGAATACTTATTAGAGAGAAGCGATAACTGCTTATGTTCTGTATTTGCAGTTTGTCTGAAGGAATGATTTTGAGATTTTTGGTGCTGCTTTTCTTTTTAATTTGATTGCAAAGGTGTGCTGTGTTGTAGCACCTTTAAAACAAATCTCCCTGAGGAAAGGGAGCATCCTCCTACAAATTGTTCTTTGCTTGTAAATAAAATGTTGCAGTTGTTCCTCCTACTGATTGATTTTTACAATTGTTTTAGAAAGCATCTTTCATTTATACAATGCTGTGCTCCAGTTTCTGCTCAAGCTGGATGGGCATCATTCTCTGAAGCCTATGGAAGTCTGTTCTTAGTTCAAGGAAAGTGGGATTGGACAACTTAAATGATCGTGAATTCAGTCACTGCAATTGAATATGCTAATGCCTGTGCATTTTCAATGGTCTCTAGCTCATCTTTCTACAAGGGGGTGTGGGTGTTTGTGAAGAAACAAATGGGCACCTGTACAGAAGGAAAATGCATTACTTCTGCATGTTTCTACTGGTGTGTTTAGTAGTAGGATTTTTATAAAGCCTTTAGGACAGCCAGCTAAAACCAAACGTACGAAAAAGGGCATGTAGCCAACCATGTAGCTGTGAGCATAAAAAATGCAGCATCTCTGTCGTGTTTGAAGAAAGATAAGCATTGATGCAAATGCTGGGATAAATGCCGAGGAAACTGAAAAGTGAGGAAGTGACTTCCTCTCCTCCCCTTTGTTAGCCTTGTGTTTAGAATTCACCAATATCTTTAGACAAACTTGTGCATGTGGACTAAAAGGAAGCCAGAAGACCTGGTGGGGTCTGTACATTTCATTGCAATTATCTTAAGACTCAGGAGTTTGGCATCTTAACTAAACTTTGCCTGTGGCTTTCTGTCTTTTGGGGTCTGTGGGAGAGGATAACTTTCTCTTATTTCTTTTTGAAATGTTACAGGAAACACTGAAAAATGGTGTTTATCTTTCACACTTTTGAGAAGGGTTCTTTCTAGACTGTCTAGAAATGTCTCTTTCTGTCCACTAGTCTTAGCACTGTGAGATTCTGACCATCATTGCTCAGCATCATGATTTTGCTGGCAATTATATGCCTAATGACTAGCACAAAACTTCCAAATATTACTTACAGGAATGCTGCTATTTCAGTATAGTTGAAGGGTGGAACGAGGTACGAGTGTGGGTTATGTAATCTCTCTTACATCGTACTTGATATTTTTTTTCTAGTTAATTTGCAGGAAATGTACCTATACTTCATTTTTCACTAATGGTGTTCTTTACTTGCTAGTCATGCCAATTTCCATATTTGCAATTGAAAATAAAACCTCACCCTTGTAGAGCTGCTGCCATAGTAACTATACAGTAGAATTACATTGAAAGTGTTGAAAGTACATGCATTCAAGTTTTGTCATCTGTGCTGCTATGGAAATTAGAAGAGTTGGTGTGCTGGAAGGATCTCTCGTTCCTTTCAAATACATCTTATTCACTCGGTGCTCTAGAAGTCTGATATGGTGCTTTTTTTTTTTTTTATTAGAAGTGATTCTCTTAAGACTCTCTTAACCAATTTGTGTTAAACTAAAAGGTTCTTTTAAATACACAGTGCTGAAGCACTACTGGCTTAAAAAATATTTTTGATTAGTGCTAAAATCTAACTGCCAAAAAATCAGTTACTAAGTATTACATGTATGTACTTTAACCAGTTTATACATATGGTTCATTGAGATTTTTTTTAATTACTTTCAAACATTCATGGTAAATGAACAGGTAATAGATAGAATTATGTTTGTTGGAAGTATCATCTTAAAATCTATTGTTTAAAATTGGACTGCTTACATATAAAGGCTCTGTTAGCTAGGATATGATGTCTTGGGAAGTGGGTAGTTCCTTTTTCTCTAACTCTTATGAAACTGACGCTGACCAAGAATTTTTAAGACTGACAGAAAAAAGGCTTAATTCTGAGTTTGTGCCTAGCTTTTCTCTTGAGTCATTTGACTATCTAATTTTTCCACCCACATGTTTATTAATCTTTTTTTCCAAAAAGCTATTTGAACCGTGGGTAAGGATTATGTCCTTTTAGTGTTTCCTGACTATCTTTAAAAGGAGCAGTTCCCAGACTATAATCAATATACTGCACTCTAAGGTTCTTCTGATTTGTCAGCATAATGTAAGTCAAGAACTTACTTCATGTAAGTTCTTCATCAATTTAATAACTCACTAGATGAATTACAGGATCAGTGTGTATAGATATCTATATATCTATATAGATATGCACTAAATGTGTGTGTTATGTTCACATACATAAAAAAAAAAAAGACAAGCCAGGGTTGTTCAAGTGGAAATGTAACAATTATTGTTTAATGTGTAACAGGGCGCTTTGAAGAAGAATTTATCAAAATGCGCATGGAGAGACTGCAAGCTTGGATGACAAGGATGTGTCGCCATCCTGTTGTGTCAGAAAGTGAAGTTTTCCAGCAATTTCTCAATTTCCGAGATGAAAAGGTAGGAAAGACTAGGATTGAGGTTCTGCTTCCCCCACCCCCCTCCTTGAAATACGAATTTGGCTCCATAACTGCCTCGTTCGTCTGCCCCCCTGTGGGCAGTAGTGAAGATCTGTAAACTGCTGGGCTTGGTGTATTTAGCTGACTGATTAAAATCAGGCATAAAGTTACTTGTCTGAAATGCTCTATGCCATTCTAACAGATGTGCTCTTGAAAGTAGCTTTGCTGCCAGTCTTTAAGAACAGTTTGTGTCCTCCAGCAGAAAGGAAACACATATAAGAGATCTTTTGGCTGTTTTCCCTAATGCATCTCTGTCAGACTTACTAATTACTGCAGTCCTCTGACTGGTACTGCTTTGCTAACAGAAGCTGTTTCACAGCGGAACTGGCATGTCTGATCCTGTATTATACTTAAAAACAAACAAAAACAAAAATCCCAAATGCAGTTGTAGATGGAATCAATGGTAATAGGATTATGCTGCAGTCTTATCTGATAAAAGAAGCCCTTTTGATTTCCTCCCTGCCTCCTCCCTTCATTTCTTTATGGGTTTGTTTTTTTGATTTAGTGTTTTCACCTTCAGTAAATAATAGTTTCCTTGTGATTTGAGCTGCAGCTCCATTAATAATTTAGCTATCTACTGATGAGGAAATAAACAGGAAAATTCCATTCTTTTTTCCACAAAATAATTATACTAAATACACAGACATTCTCCTCAAAAAGTAAATGATCCTTGGAGGTTTTTAAGACCAGACTGGATAAAGCCCTCAGGTCACACCTGATCCTTTTTGAGCTGGAGGTTGAACTACAGACCTCCTGAAGTCAATTCCAAACTTGATTATTCCATTAAGTAAAGGTTTAATAACATAATAATTGCAGTCCTAATGAAGTGCTGTTTGGATGGCCAGTGGAGAGTTGTATAATTGTGCTAGTTAATCAGTGGTTCTTAGCATCTAACTTACAGAGTGATGTAAAAAGAACAGATGTGATACATCTGGAATATTTTTTGTCTGTTCCCGTTAAGAACTTAATATGACAATTGCATAATAGTCTCATGATCATCTTGAGTAGGTTCTGAAATCAGCACTATCACATACACATACTGCTGAAAATAATTGTCCTTAAACTGTATTTCAGTAATATACAAAAAGGGTCTGTTTACCCCCAGAATCTAGAAAACAAAATGCACAAGGAGGGGGGACGGTAACTCTAAGAAACATTGTCCCTACTGAAACTTCAGTTTAAAATGTTTTCATGTATGGGTGGTCTTTGTCCAAGAGATTTCATTCACTGCTTCAGCACATGTCCTTAAAGTTTGGTGAAAAACAGTGGTCAATTTTTAATTTTTTCATTCCTCAAGGAGTGGAAAACTGGAAAGCGGAAGGCAGAAAAAGATGAAACTGTAGGAGTCATGATCTTTTCTACAATGGAACCAGATGCTCCTGACCTGGACATGGTAGAAATGTAAGTTGTTGGTTTGGGTTTTTTTGTTTGTTTGTTTTAAGCTGTTCGATTGTTTCTGTTGGTTGGTTGGTTTTATTTTTTGTTTTTGTTTTTTTTTTTTTCATGGGTATTATGTGTTTGTATAGGCAACATATACTGATTTAATATAAAACTAAAATAGTAAGTATGCACACATACATTCTTGTATTTGTAAAGGTGTTTATGAAGGCAGAGCTGCAAAACTTCTTGTGTGAGATTTTCCTATAAACCTCTCCAAAAGGTGGAATTCTGTGTGATGTCTCTTTGACTTCAGTGGCTGAATACTGATCTTAAAAATATTTATGCAAAACTAGTTGATGAGGGTTTACTGACAGATCCCATGGAATTATATTTTGTACTGCTGAGGGGCTATATTTTGTTCTTTAATCCTTCAACTGTGAACAGTTCTGAAGTGTGCTAGACCTGTCAGGTAGCTTAGGATAACAGCAAACCATCGTGGAAAGCAGTATTTCTGTGTTTAAGAAACAAACAACAATAAACTACTACTTGAGTAGAATGCACGCACACTATTATTCTAACAGCTAAAATGCAGGGAAAGCAATTACAAATGAAAAAATATTGAAATGATCAAACCTCATTTTAAATGGGTTACTACATTTTTGGTATTGTCCTGGAAGTGTAAATGGATATATATTTCTCATGTGTGTGTGTGTAGCATACCTGCACTGTTTGTGTGTAGTTCTCTGTGGCAGACCTTGGGTTCCACTCTCTATGGAAGACTGGGTTTACTCTGCAGCCTTTATTTCACTCCTTCAGGCTTAATCATTTTTCTTAGAAGATATATGTAGTATATGTGACACACTTTCCTTGCTGTTGTGGAACACAAAAACTTGGAAAATGTTTTGGGTCTGAAATAGTGGATAAACTAGTGGGACAGAAAGAGAAGTGTTTATAGCAGCAAAACAGTGGTGTGCCTTCACATGGAAACAGCCCAGCATATGGACTTTATCCAAGTGGTGCAGTGCCTTTTAAGGTACGTGTAGTAGCTGTGCTGTGGCAGTTGTGTACTCATAAAAAGGACAGATGTTTGTAGGTCACTTCCACTTTATTTCAAACTTTTCTGCTTTTCTCAAGTGATGTGCTTTAATTATCCCCGTGGTATGAAAGCTGAGGAGGTGAACCAGAGGGAGGAGTTTGTGCAGAAGGGTACTTCTAGTGTATACCTATAGGCATACAAGTTAAATCCTTGTAAAACTTCATTCAGCGTGCCAGCTTTTTCTGTTGTTCATACACGGGGCTTGGGTGCCTGACACTGAATTGCACCTTAGGTATCTGAACATAAATGGCATGAATTCCTCCTGATATACCTGAGAGGGAACACTGATCTGAACACTGGCAAGAAGCCCATCACTTCTCTGATGCTGGCTGAGGCTGCCAGTAAGACAGGCTTCATGTAGTGGCATCACTTCACTGCTTCTAGGCCTGACCCCATCAGTCTTGTTACTGCTTCTGTGGGAAACCCCCACTGCAAAATGAGCGACTCCACCAGAGCCTGCTGGCAGGTGAGCTGTGCTGGGGAATATGACCAGCCTCTGTGCTGATAAACACTCCCTGGATGCTGAGGGCAGGTGAGCTGCCTATGGGGAATGCTTGCCAGAGGGTTCTGGCTCCTGGGCTGGGGCAGGCAGCCCGGGGTGGTGCTGGGGGCCTGCCTGCCTGCTTTGCTGGGGGGCTGTGGCACCACAGACACGCACACCACGTTCCAGAGCCTGGGAACCTCTCAGGGTGCTATTGGAAAACGCACGTAGGAACACATACTAGTACAGGTATTGTCATTTGGCTAGTCTGCTCTGTCACTGATCCTATGCTGTTAACAGTAACAAAGAGGTGGTTGTACACCTTAATCAACATTTTTTTAGGTAGGAAGGAATAGTTAAAGGGGAGCCTCCAAGTTTAAAGGGTAAGGAGGTCCTGATTCATGTAATGAAAGAAACTTGAACGGTGTACATAAATGTATCTTAGCTTAACAGATAACCTCATGGTTTCTTTTACTTCAAAGAAAAGAATATTGTGACTGTAACATGCCAATGTTTCCCAAAGTCAGCCCAAAAATAGGACTGCTTCTGTAATCACTTAAAGTGATGGCATCTTCTGGAAAAACAAGAATTAAAATAATACAGTGAGAACAGCTTGCTGAATCTTTGAAACTAGTCAGCTTTATAGCGTTGTTGGTATAACATTAAGTATTTTGGGGAAAGCTCTTTCCATCTTGATTTTTTTCCTTTTTTTTTTTTTTTTTAGTTCAGGCTCCCTCATTTAATAGTTGTTCTAAACTCGTGGTGTTATGCATGAAAAGAGAAAAGCAGCTCATGCATGAGCTTCAGCATACAGTTTCATAATAATCTTAAACTCTTTGGCCATTGTTTTTTTTCCTGTCACCTTACCTTTCTATTTTCTGTACAGGGGTTTTTGTTGCTGTTGTGCCAGGCTGGGAAAAGGAAGATGCAGTGATCTGTCTACTTAGTTTCCCAGAAGATCACTTAGAGCATCTCACTAGTTCTAATCAAAGTAGATACAGTAGTGATAGTAGTGAAGACTGCATGTAAATCTTGATGCTGCATTGAGGGCCTTGCTGGAGGTCAGTCAGGTGTCGTTTCTTTCTGTGAAACTGCACAATTTCACTTTGTTCACCTGTGTCATTCCATAGTCTATTTGGGTGTGCAGCTGTGGTGTATTTTTGTGTCTTTCCTCCAATGGTTTGTTCTCTTCCCAAAGAGGATAACTTTGAATAAAGCACAAAATATTATTTTTATAGTCTCAAAAGCCATAACTTCCATAACTGGGCAAGCCAACTTGATAACAGTTCCTAGGTGAGAATTCTTCAGTGTTGAATAGTTCTTGAATGAGAAGATGCTATTTACTGAAACAACTTAGGCAGTCCTTTGATCATGATACCATTAAAAGAATGATTTGCTACTGGGGAGACTAGGGTGAGACAAGGGCTTCTTGGAAAGTCCAGGTTGTTTCTGTGCAGGTAACTCATCAGGCAGAGTCACCAGCTGAGGGCAGGAGGTGCAGGTGGGGCTGTGGGAGTTTGGGCTGGAGCTGCTGGGACCCTGACTCTGGGGGTTTGCTTAGGGTCACCTTGTTGAGAGAGCAAGAGGCTAAGGAGCTGTCTCGTACAGGCTTTGGTTGAGAGCACTTGTAAGATCTGATGTACTTTGAATAATTCACATTGAAAATTACAAAACGTGTCTAGTTTTCTTTTGTAAAGTTCATGAAGTATTGCTGTGTATTCAGTGCTACATTAAGTGGAAAAGTTTTGGTAGCTGTATGAAAACAGAGGGGTAAAAAGACACATGCAGATAAAGCATTCTCTTTTGAGCATAACTGATGTTTTTTTCCTCTCTAACACAACTGAAAACAGTAGTATTGTCAATACAATATGTAAGCTTAAGCTTACATTTCCCCAGAAGAACTACTGTAAATTTTATTCCTGTCAACGTGGGGTGCTTCTGCTTGTGTTTAGTGCTTTAGGGATGCATTCCCTTCAAATCAGATTTTGCTGCTGTGTTCTTTGATCCCAATGTGGTGGATGTTTAACTACTAGTGTTGTTTGTTTGCTTGCTTTGTTTCATCTCCAAGGTAAGAATCAATAGTAAAAATGACAGTCCAGTTCTACATGTTTAACAGAGGGGGAGAAAAATAGAATGAAAAATGCCTGGAAGTGAAGATGGAAATTCTGTCTTCAGTGAAATGACAGTGATTTCATGGAATGTATTTCTTTGATTTTTAAAGCATAGTTGACACTCCTAAATATTTCAGTATTGCGTTTAAAGTTAGAGTAACATATCTGTTTAAACTGCTTTCTGTTTTTCCTTTTTTCCAAATACTATAGAGAACAGAAATGTGATGCAGTGGGTAGATTCACCAAAGCAATGGATGATGGAGTTAAAGAGCTGCTGACAGTGGGACAAGAGCACTGGAAGAGGTGTACAGGGCGTAAGTATTCCTTCTGAACTCAGCGGTGTTTTCAGTCTTATTTTTCTGATGTGGGTTTTTTTTTATATATGGAATTTGAAACACAGCTTAAAACTACAGCAAATCCTAAATTATTATGAGAATCGTATGTCTTTCTTGCTGCTTTCAGTGTCTGAAAGTATAAGTTCTGTTTTGGTTTGTCTTTTTTCCCATAACAGAAATATCTGGTCCCTGCCCATAGTTTTAAAAACAGTATAAGTTAAATAATTCTAATCATCCATGTAAAATCCTTGCTGTACCTGTTCTATTATGTCATTCATCTGCATCCTAGTGACATGGGCAAAGTAGATCGGTCTCTTTGATCAAGTCATAAAAGGTTACACTTTATTAACACCTTATTCTTGCATGCCAGGAGGAGTAATCTAAAGATGGAAAGAGTTTAAAAAGCAGAAAAAAAAGGAAAAACGAAAAATCAAGAAACTTAATTATAACTTATCCTTCAGCCCAATTCTTTTTCTTTTTTTTTTTTCTCTCTCCTATCTTGTCTCTTCCTTTCTGCAGATATTTAGGGTTGCAGAACTTCACACCAAGTCCCTATGACTCTGCCTGGGCTCTAATTTCCTAGTCCACAGCAGTATTCAGTGTTTGTGGCCACCACAAGGCAGCTATTGAAAGGAAGCAGGTACTACAGCTGAGGATCATAATAAACACTTCATGGCAGGCTGTAGTGTCTGGCTACCAAAGACCCATCACATAAATCTCCTCAATGTTTCCCCCCACCCCTTTTTGTTTTGTTGCCTCTCCTTTTTAATTCTCACCATAAAAAAAAAATAAAATATACATATACATATATATCCCCAGCCTAGGAGTAAGTACGTCTCCTGAGCTATCTCTTTGCTACTACCTGATCTTACATTGCAGTTGAATATCTGGGGCTGACCAGAAAGAACAGGAATGTAGGAGCTCAGTTTCTTCTAGCAGTGATTACATTAGCACCTGCAGGATACTGTTTTAAATTATTTACACTCTCCACTTGATTAAGATTGGAGAGTGTAAATAATGTAAATAATAATGTCTTCTATACATCACTGACCTTTCTGGTTCTAAGGTCAAAGATAGACTAAGCCTTAAATCTCTTATCTCACAGGACGCACAGCTCTAACACTGTACAGCTCTCACTTCACGAGGGAATCACTGAGGGGAAAGCAAAGGGCAGGGGAAGGAAGAGGGTCTCAGAAAAGGCTAGAAGAACAGTGTTGCTTTGCAGTCACGGTAGAAATGACCAAAACACCATAGTTAAGGGATGGCCGTGACTTGTGCTTACAGTGGGAATTCAGTATTTTGTTCACTGCTAAAATCTCCTTAAACGTATGGCAGTACTGCTTTCTGTATGGAATGATTCTTCCAATAGCCACAGCTAATAATTAGCTTGCCTAAATACAGTAAGTCAAAAGTGATAGTGTTGGCAGTTTTAATTTTTAATATATTCATATGGAACAGAAAAAGGAAGACTTGCAAATCTGGACTTGCAACACTAAAGAATTTCAGTAGTCTCTTAAAAATTTAATTTCCATGTCAGCTCTAGTCACAACTCCTAGTCAGAATTATTTTTGGCACTTCTTGACCAATACTTACGTGCATTCCATTCAATAATATTTAAATTGACTGACAATGGGTACTTCTAAAATGCAAGTGAGGAAAAAACAGGATGTTCTTCACTGACGTTATCACTGCAGATTTAGTAATGGGTTAATGGCTGATAACAGAGCTTAAGGAGTCTGAATGGTACTTGTTCCATAAGGAAATATCAGTTTTAATAACTCTAGCTCCTGGGAAAGAATTTGATACAAGATCAATAAAATCACACGCTTTTTTTATGTTAGGGTCCCCCTGAAAACCTGATTCTGAGATTCTAGAGCAACTGAAAAATGCTATTTACCCAGACAGCATATCCTGTGAACACAGATGTCTGACAATAAAAAATAAATTACTTTTTTTTTCTACTGACATAGGTAGTTTATTTAAAAAAAAAAAAAAAAAAAAAAAAAAAAAAAAAAAAAACTGTTTTAACTCTTCAGATTGTTTTTTAGGCCTCTTAGGTGGTGGTAGTCAAAATGTTAATAATGAACACATACTCATAAATCGGTTTATTGACTTCATTGTGAGGAAGCAATTTATGCATGCATTTTTTAAATTCACTTTATAAATCAATTTTATAATTCAGATCCCTGCATCAACTTTTATTCCGTAATAATCTTGGTTTCTGTCAAATCCATGATTTGAGGAGAGTTTAGGTATTATGGGTCTGTATGATAATCCCCTCTTTAAAATAGTTAGATTTCTGCTTCATGTCACTGTTGCCCTTTTTTTATAGGGGGTGGGGGAGAAGAAATTCTCACTGCCTAAGCTGGAAGGCTGAGCTGGGAGTGCAGTAAGATTTTTACAGCATTCACACACTGTTCCTCAACTATTTGTGCCTTTTGAGAATCCAATAGCTTTATCCAGTTTTGGAACTTGTGTAGCAGGAAAGGGGGGGGATGAGAATGCAATTGTAAACACTTCACTAGCACAAATGTACTAACTGTTTTTGACATTAGCTTCTATCAAGTTTTGGAAATGCTACAGACTTAATCTTGTGTGTTTTGCTTCTGTTTCCCTCTTTTCCCATCCCTTTATGCCTTTCAGCACTACCTAAGGAATACCAGAAGATTGGAAAAGCACTGCAGAGCCTGGCGGTGGTCTTCAGCACTAGCGGATACCAAGGTAATTATTACAGCTTCATTTGTACTTTACTTTGCAAAAGATATTTAAATTATGTCATGCAACATTTTTTGGCAAAGGTCTTAATGCTTTCCTCTTTGAATTTAGATGTCAGTCGTGTTTCTGGAAAAATACCAAAACCATGTATATTACAGGGTTTCTTACATTCTAGTCTGTGGTCTTGTTTTGTTTTCTCTCGTTCTGTAATCATGTGGTGGGTTATTAGTGGTAGAGTTTAGTTAGATCTTACTAACGTGTAATCTGCTCACTGACCCGACTGACAAAACATGCTGTAGCATTTTAGTGACCTATATTTCTGTCATATCAAACAAAAAAGGAGAAAATGCAGCCTTGAAAATAGCTGCCACAGAAGTACTTGGTGACACAGCAATTCCACACAAGGATGGAAAACTTTTGTATGCCATTATCTGAAGTGGAGGGTTGACTACTGTAGCCTTTTCTTGTCTTTCACCCTTCTCTCTTTCTTTGAGAGCCCTGAAACAGAGCTTGTCACATTAGGCATGAAAGCTGCGGGAGAGAAATGTAGGGAATCAGTTGCAGTTTCTTTTTGCAAACTTCTCAAAGTTCTAAAATTTAGTCTTTAAACAAAGTTACAATCCTGCTCTGTTATGCTGAATTCTGCCACTGTTTTCTAGTTATCTGGAAAACATTTTTCGTATCCTAAAGGAAGCGATTTGGGTGTGTTTTCTCTGTGATTCTTAGATCAAATACTTTTTTTTTTTTCCTAGATTTAATAGCAAAATTATTCTAAAACATAGCATAGAGGCTTACTCTAATCTTCGTATCTTAGGACTTTTAGTTAAACAGTACCTGTTTTGACTACCTGTCTACCCTTGCTCCGTACTCTTAAAACTTTTTGCCCCATAATCTATATATTAAAATGCAACTAGTTCTGAAACTCAGGAGCTCTGCTGCTGGAAATGCTGGAAATAGACATTGTACTCCTTGTAGTTTGTTCTCATCTTTGTCCTGTACTTGCTGAAAACATTACTTTTGGATGTAAGAACCAAGTAGTGGACTTGCATGCTTATGTATCCATTGTGGGTTAGAAAACTGTAAACTTCAGACAGAGATCTGTGCATTGAACGGACTGTGCAAGAGACCTAAACTCCTGGATTTAAACTGATGGATGCAACTTTCCTTATCTCAGTATTCAAAGGTGGTACTGGACCTTTTTCTTCAAACAAAGTACTATCTAGGCTGAAGATGGGGTGAGTTTTTTCTGGGCTGTTGTTGAAGAGGATTGTTTCCTTCAGCCATACTTAAAGGCACTGAGTTCCATTTCCCTTAGTAGCTGAATCTCTTCATCCTCTTCTTTGTAATACTGACTCAGATACCCATCTCCCTTGTGCATATTTACCTTTGAGGATTAAGTTCTCAAAGTTTGTGTGTAGGTCATTGAAGATGACAACGATTGATTTGGTTACATGAACGATTTCAGCTACTGGTAGCTGACTTCTAACAATGTATCTGGTATGTCAGGTGGTTCATTTGCACAGTTCGTATGGGACGCATCTGTTGTCCTTACCTCTTTCATCAGTGCTGCCTGCCTGCTCTGCAAAGCCTGGTGTGGTGAATGTCTACTGCCTTCTCTCCGAACTTCAGCCTAAAATGTTTAAGATAGCACTAGTCTAGAAGGGCTTGTTAAACTGACTCTGTTACACAATTTTTATTATGCTGCTGAATGAGTCTTATCAATTTGTTCCCACCCACAGTGCATATAAAAAATTCGGCCCCAGTATTTGCAGAGGTAAGGGTACATTTAAAACTATTAATGACACATTAAAAGTGTCTTCTTTTATTTCACCATGGGCCTATACACTGCCAAGTCTGTTTTAGGCACAAGTGCTTTTTAAGTGTGATCCTGGTCCCAAAAGCATATTGGACAGTTCCAGAACATGACTGGAAGTGTCACACAGCCTAGCACTACATTGCCTATCTTGTTGCATCGTGTGATGCTCTGAGGTTAATGCAGCATGGCTTCTCTTCTGTGGTGCCAAATCTAGGAGAGTCTTCTATACTAAGAAAACATGAGTGGCTATGGAATGCCATTCAACCATAGTGAGATCTCCTAATCCTACATCACCCCTGAAGCATTTTCTTGGGCAGTTGCATACAAGTTTCACGATAATACCAGTTAGCAACAGGCACATCTTTCCTTCTGTGCTGCTTCTGCAGTGAATGATGTCAATCTCAGATGTACTTCTCAGAAAAAAAATCTTGCTACGTGTTGTTCCACAGTACATCAATCGTAATCTTTTTTCTACTCCTGGTTTCTGTTCAAACATGCTTTGGTGGAGAGAGAATGGCAGAAAAACCTCTCGCCAAAAAAACAATCTGCTATCCTAATCAAGCCTTGCAGATTATTAGTTCCCTCAGTATGCCTAGTGTATTCACAAAAAGGTGATTACCACTGCCATTTATCAAACAGTTAAACTGATAAGAGATGCTCCTCAAAACATCTCCCTAAGACTCCTCATACTTCTGCATCTTCCTTCATCTCCCTTGTGTCAGCGTGCCAGCTTGTGAAGCAATGAAATGATCAATTTCTCCTTGTGGTTGAGCTAAAATATCTGTAGAATATTATCAGACATTTTAACTGGTCTTTTTACAAGTGTCTTTAACTGATGCTTCGAAGCCCTCTCTGTTTCTCTTGGTGATACAGGTAAGGCACACTGCTCTAGTTTTGCTCTAAATGTCAGTAGCATGTTTGTTAGGGCTTTCTGCGTTTCTTGTTGAAAGCGCCCCTGACATCCTGGTACAGCCTTGCACTGGGACCCAGCTCAGTCCTCGTGGTTCAAGTTAAGCAGCCCATTCGCAGCTTCACATCTTTTACAGTTCTCTAGAAGGTGAGAAAGTTAGAAATGTGACCTTGTCCAAGTAATCAGATTTTTAGCAAAACCCATGCTGACAACACTTAATGGCAGCAATCTGCTGGTGGAATTCAAGTTGCGTTGATGGGTGTGCATGAGGAGTGTATGCAATAACTTCAAAAAGTGGCGTGGTATAGGGAGTGACTGACTGAGCATGGCATGACTCTGAGGATACATATTAAAATGTGAAGGATGCAGCAAATGACAGGTGAAATCTGACTCTTTAAGGCTGCCCTGGCGTGACCTGAGAAGTAGACTGTAGAAGACCAGGATGCAGCATGAGGAGCTGCAGATACTCATCTACCACTTGTGTGCCTGTCTATTGTTGGGATCCGCTGTCTGGAACAGTTTTTACATCAAGGGTACACTTCTGTAGGAGAGTGAACACTTCTGCTAGCAGTAGAAATTCTGAATAAATTCTGTTCCTTCTACAAGCTGACTCTGTGCCCCACTGCCCCACATGAGAGAGATTTGGAGGGTTGAACTAGATTCTTTGCCGCTGCAGTCCCTTGGGTGAGTTCTGCACAGAAGTGGCAAGTTACTTTTTCTACTCAAATACCAAATACTCTTCTTCCTTCTTTGTATTCAGGTAGGAGAAGATATTTTCTTTTTACAGCATTACAACATGAATAGCTATGGCTAGACCAGTCTGGTTTCTGAATCAAGCTAAAGCCATGCCATGTTTTTGTCCCCAAAACCTAGCAGTTGCCTAAGCAGCACTTAAGCTAAAGTCAAGGTTTCATGTTTACTTCTGTGTAATTCCAAATTAATGAAATAATTTCTCTACCTGATTGAAATTGATATGAATTTTTTTTTATAGTTTAACATTGAGAAGATAACTTCCAAATTCTGCAGTTTTTAGGTCTCACAATGAGATTTGTGTTGTTTTTTCTTATCCAGACCGGCTTAAATAGTAGAAAGCCATTTTCTAGTGATGTTTGTATTGCTGGATTTACTAGCGCTGAGGATCAGTAGCTTTCTGTCAAAGCTTTTGGCTTCATAAAAACAGTCTAATGGAAAAAATTGATTGAAAGACCTGAAGCAATATTTAGTCATTACCCTGTTTCCTTTAGGACATGCTAAAAAGAAAGAATCCTGTATAATAGATCTTCAATAGATTATTTTCTTTGTCATAGTAAAATAAACTATTTTAATGTTCAAACCACTCATTAAAGAAATCAATGTTTGGTAATTTTCAGTTAAGTCACTGATTAATGTCTATGGAATGAAAACAAAATGTTCTTTAGACTAAGTGTGCCAAATACCAGGAGATGTCTGAAAGAATAACTTTTTCTTGAGCTAATATTTGGTATCTGCAAATTATACCTTCCCCCTTCTCTACCTCAATTTGCTTTCCGTACTGTTGACCACATGCTTTGGACAAGCTAACAAGGACGGAAAAAAACTGGTGTTTTGGGAAGGTGAAGTGACATGAAAAAACAAGAATGTAAGGCTTGTTTCCATCTTTGTCCCACGTAGCCATGTCCTGCTAGTAATACAGTGTTATGAGCACTTGTGGTGTTGTCTAGCTTAGGATTTGTGGTGATGTTTGTATTTTTAGATGTAGCTTGTGGGGCTTTTTCTTTATTTCACGTCACAACAAAAGTTAGAAACTCATTTTCAGAAAGATTCTTACAGAGCTTGAGAATGTTATCCAATAGTTCTCTAAAGGCTGAAAAATTTTGTTGGCAATGAAAAAAAAAGTTATTTGAGCCTCCTTTTCCCTCTCTGGCCTTTTAATAATTATGATCCAGGACTGCTGAAGAGCTTAAGGTTATTTTCACTGCTCCATAGGGCATTGTGGAGAATTTACTGCTTATCAGGTATGAAAATCACTTGTTAAAAACCAGAACAGTGGATCTCTTTGGAGCTTTGGTCTATCTTCTGGTGTCACCCTCCTTGTGTTCCCTTCCTTCCAATTCTGGTAGGCTTCCTGTTCTCCCCTGTGGGGGAATCCCTGTGTATTTAAACTACATAAAGCTATGAAATGTGGAGCTGAATAGCGTTACTATAGTAGAACATGTTACAAATAGTCCCTTCAGCATTCATTTTGTATAAGGTCTTACAAGTTTTCCTCCTTTAATGGTATAAAACCAATGTTTTTGCAACCTCTTTATTATTCCCAGTTATAAAATGGTGAGTGGATATTATTATTACAAAATAAGCTGTTTTAGAAACTTGCCTTGAATCAAGATATGACCTTCAGTAATTTGAAAACTGGTGTTTACTTCTAGGGGAATCTGATCTCAATGAAGCAATAACAGAAGCAGGAAAAACCTATGAAGAAATCGCCAGTCTCGTAGCAGATCAGGTATAAGCATTAAGAATACGTTGACATAGTGTGTACAAACATGCCTCCTGTGTGGATAACTTCTGACTTGTCTGTTTTTCTTTCCTGTTAAAACCTAATAAATGCTAATGCTGCAGGCCGCTTAAGTGAAATTACTGTTAATACTTTTAAATGCACCCTCATCTTCTCTAGTATGTCTGCCCTGGGGAGAAGTAATGGGAGGGTATTTTTCTTGGATCAGAAAAATGACATTCTGCTTTCTGAAACACAAAAATATTTGCTTTCTCTTTAAATGTCCTTGTTTCCTGATGTCAGTGAACTGTCTTCATAACTGATACAACAGAGTGAGATTTAATCAAGGATGGGGTTTCGATTTTTCTCTGCATTGCCCAAATATCTACAGGATCCAGATCTTGCTACTTTTCATTGTCTGGACTTGCAGTTGCCTGCTTCAGTAACAATCTGTCTTAAATAAAACTTGATTTTATGTCAGTATTCAAGTTATAGATGAGTGTTTACAGTGCGTTACGCTTAATCTCTATACTGGGTCTGGCTGGGATGTTAACTCCTCTTCTAAGGAGTGGCAGTGAGAGAGCAGTTGTGGTGGAGTTCAGCTGCCTGGCATGGTAAAACCACCACAGTCTCCAAAATGTAGAGCCTGTTAATTTTCATGTTGATTAAGTTGTTTTTAACCAGCTTTCCAAGTCAGCAACTAAGAAGAGGTACCAGTGCATGTACACATATGTATGTGCAAGGACATTATTGCTTGAAATTGCCATTGCTAGGTCTGGTGACTCCAATAAAACGTTGAGGTAAAACACCTCACTTCATAAGCCAATGTTAAATAAAACAAAGAATGGAGGCATCTGCTCTCTGGTGCTCAGTGCCTAACTCCAAAAAGCTTATATCTCATTAAGGACCTGTTTAACTATAGAAAAATCTGCAATAAGCAATAGAGATTTTTCTTCCCTCTATTCTTTCCTCCCCTTTTTTGGCATTGTCATTTCTGGGTCTGTGTTATTACTGTCATGGATATTTTTACTAACGTGTACTTTGTTTATTAGCCGAAGAAAGACCTGCACTTTCTGATGGAAACAAATCATGAATATAAAGGATTTCTTGGTTGCTTCCCTGACATCATAGGAGCTCATAAGGTATGTGAGGGTGCCTTTCCTGGAAAGGGTTGGGCAGTGGGAAGATCTGCATAGGGAGCAGCAAAAGTGGTGGTATGGATCACTGCATGTGTGCGACAGCCTAGCCCCTGATTCCAGTCACACAGAAAGTTTCTGTGAGACTGGCATGTTCATTATTAAAATATTTGGGGCGTGGGGAGGAGGGGAAGCTAGAACTTGTCTCAAGATTTGAGGATACCTCTACTGTCTGCTATGGTAGAGCACTAGAAGCTTCAGGGTTTTCTCCACGAACGCTTTGCGTGCCTACATGGTGAATAGCAGTAGTAAAAATTTCTAGTGTTTAGGAAACTTACGTAGTTATTGATAACAAAGCATAGTGGTATTGTAGGGAAAAGTGTGTACACTTGCACGGTTTGCTCACTAATACGTGATAATCATGGACTGCCAAGAAGTGTCTTAATATTTAAAAAAAAAAAAAAATACTTTGTTCCCTGTACTATGAAAGTCATCAAATAGTAAAACAATAAAATTGGCTGTTATGTCTAGTTTTGAATATTCTGATTTTCTATTTTTATCCTAGAGTTGTCCTCATGTTCATGTGCTCACTGTATTATGTTTCAGGAAACTACAAATACTTGAAGTATTAAACACGTACACACAAATGTTTTTTCTACTACTGGAAATATTAAATGTATAAAACAACACATTTTTGCAAGACCAAAAACATAAAAGCATATCAAATCTACGTGCATTCTTTCTTCAGGACTTTAATGGTCCCCAATGGCACTGAAAACCTTTTGAGGAAAGTAGCATAAATAAAATGCAGAAAAAATGTGCTGAAAACCTGAATCACAAACCTTCTAAGAGATATGTAAACAGATATTTTTGAATATTGTTTGGCATGAAGAGGAAAGTGCAATATAAATATATTGTGAAGGGGAAGACATTTCTTTTTACCCTTTTTCCTTGTGACATAAGGATTTTCCTGAATCACATTCGTATATTGCAATGAATTGTAGTCTCTTGGAAAGCAGTGCATCTTTTAGAGGTGTTTGGTAGTTTGAAGCTTTTGGCATATCCTGTGTCAGTCAGCTGAATTTTGCAACCTGCTCCTTTTTTCTGTGTATATATCCTTGTGTACTACTGCCTTTATCAATCTTTATTTCTTGGTGACTGTGTTAATGCCTATGTTTTAAGTCACTTCTTGCAAGCTGTTAAGACTCTTGAAAGCAATACAGCAAAATAACAAACCCTGGGTGAACATATGGGAAGGCTAAATCAGTCATTGCATGCATACAGTGTGTAACCTCAAAATGTTGGCCAGTGACATTTTTGTGACTATAGAGACCCTTCACTTGACTACTCTTTTAATCTTCCTGCATTTGCTTTCTACAGGGAGCAATAGAAAGAGTGAAGGAAAGTGACAAATTAGTTGCAACCAGTAAAATAACACCACAAGACAAACAGAATATGGTGAAACGTGTGAGCACCATGGCTTATGCACTACAAGGTAAAACAAATTTTGGGGGTAAACGGCAATATTGTAGACCTGAAGGGCATCTCTTAAGTAATGAACTTTGACAGAGAATCTTTGTTCTACCAGGAAAGATGATAATAGCTAGGTATTATTTTTTATTACGTTTGTTTTCCTAAAATTGCAGTTATTTTACTGTCCTGTCCCCCCTCCTTAAAAAAGTTGCGGTTCCAAAGCATGCATCTTCTGCACTAGTAAAGTGACGTTTGAAATAAAAACGCCCTGGGCTACTAGTTTTTCATTTTTGAAATGTCAGTGAGTCTCAAAGAAAAAGCACGGGCCCTGATGCAGGAAGCACTTCAGCACATGCGTAAGTGTTTTTCTGACTCATGGTTTAATCAGACGTGATCCAGTTGAGATTAATATTCTTGTGGATAAGATTTCATTTCCTGGATGTTCTTTGAACTTTTCCTCTTCAGGTTAGAGATGTTGTAAGTGAGATTCAATAGTCTGCAACTGAAAAAATGGGGAGTGAGGAGTCAGGGTGCAGTCCTGCAGGATACCAGGCCCATAACTACATCCTGAGTCTTCAGTGGGATTACTCATTGCTGAGGGAGTTCTGTCTTCTTTAGCTGACTTTTAGCTAAGAGTTTTTAGTATTTTACAGGATAGAGTCAGAGCAGAACACAAAGCCAACTTAAGAAAAAAATAACAAAAATATTCCTCTTTTCCTTCCTTTTCTTCCTGGTCACAGTGATGCAAAAGGACTTCACTTAAGTGGTAATCATGAGAAAAGACCTCCAGGATTGTTGCAATCTCAAATATTTGTTCTCCCTCTATTGGTATCTCCAAATATATTCGATTTTTTATTTCGACCATAAGCTGTGATGTGACAAGAGATGCAGAAAGTAGTGAAAAGTGTTACAAACCCAGTAATGCAGTTTCTCAGGTTCATACTGAAACAACAGCACTCAAAAATGGGTCAAACACCACTGGCTGTACCTGTTTGGTTTTTTTTGAACATTTATAGCTCTGCCTTATAACAGCTACAGCCTTGGAAATCTGAGGGCTGCAGTTACCAAATGCTGATTGAAAAACTTCAGAATAGAACAGTTACGTTCAGTAGGACAAAATTGTGCTTGTTTTCTTTACCAAATCTTTGTATGCCAGACTATTGTAACAAGAACCTGGCTTTATCCGGGAAGTCCCTGAATTTTAGCATGAGTAATTGACACCCTACCAATTTTATGAACAGTTCTATCATAACTTGAGTATTGCAGGCAAAACAGATTGGAAGCATGAGAACAGTAAATACACTGCCAGGGCTGGACACTGAGCTTGTTGCACACTAACCAAACTGAACTGAGTGAAACTGTTCCTAATTATGAATGCTTCTCTTAAATAATTTGCTTTCTGGGTCCAATTACAGCTGAGATGAATCACTTCCACAGTAACCGGATTTATGACTACAACAGTGTCATTCGTCTTTATCTGGAGCAGCAGGCACAGTTTTATGAAACGGTAAGATGTAGTAGTTCAGTGCCATTCTCCTGGCACATACTGTGCTGCTACTTTTATGAGAAATACTCACCGTACTTAATCATCTTTTTGTATGAACCTCTCCCAGAGAGCAGATATTTGAAAAAGAATTGTAAAAGGGGAAGAAAAAAAAAAGCCCACATAAAAGAAGAATGAATTGAAAAAATATTTTCTTGTAGATGCTATTCCTATGTGCATGGCTATATGATATTAGCTTGGTGTTTCTGGGTGTGGGTTTGTTCTTTTTTTTTCTTTTTTTTTTTTTTTTTCCAATTCCAGTACTAAAGTTACAAAGAACTTGTTCTAGTTCTGTGCATATAGGTTTTTTCAAAACTGAGTTTGGATAATTTGCTGTAAGAAAGATCTGTAGCAATGAATACAGCAATAAACCATTTGGATGAAACTTCTGTCCCGTGGGTTAGAAGGACAAAGGGAAACCTCTGAGACTTAAAGTCTGATGCATGGATGTGTTGGGTGAGGGATCAGAGCGGTTTAGTGACTTACTATGACTCAACTCTGAGCACTAAACCTACAACCTTAGTTCTCATTTAACATTGTTCTTATGGCTGTTATTTGTATTTTATTAAATGAAACTTGAGAACAATTTTTCTAATGTGCTAATTCCAATGTGACAGTGAACAGCTAAATCTGTATAGATCCTCGTTTGGTGCCCATGTTGTATGTGGAAATAGCAGCACATCTGCTTCCTGTGTCTCAGTATGCAGGAAAAAAGCTGCAGAGAATTCATACACATTTGTAATGACCATTGGTAATAGATCTTTAACTGGAGGAAGAGCTGCATCAGACTTGGAGCCAGGCCAGAAGCCTAGCTTCACTGCTCTGCCCTACCAGTGTTAGTGCCAAGACATGAAGAGGGATGTAGCTTACAAATACAACGAGAGTTGGAGGAGGAAAAAAGACTACTACTTCAGTTTTCCTCATACCTGAGTGCGCCTGGGATTTTGAACTAGAATATCTGCAGTAAAACAAATCAGTTATTTTCTTTGTGAGACCAAGTTGAACTGCCGGAGGACTGCTGGCAGCTTGTAAACTTGTATCAAAGACAGGAACACTTTTAAGTCATTACCAACCACATTTATTGATTACATACTTTTGCTGAACAGATGATTGCTTTCCAAGACCAAAGCCATGCATTACCACAAACTAAACAATGCTTTTGGTGACAGCTCTGACATTTGGTCTTTTCAAGAGAAGGCAACAGCAGGTCAGAATTGGAGTACACTGCCTGCACAGCACTCCCTGCTCAGATGCCGTGTTGTATCTGGCAGTGCTAAGAGAGCAGCTGAATGTAGCGTTGTCGATCTTGTACACATTAAGGGTACTGAAAGACTACAATTTTTGGAAGACGAGGGAACAATCTGTTTAATCTCAGCCTGAAATCTTGTTTCTGCATAGGGTGAAGTGACTACATATTAAATATGTTCTGTTTCTTTGTTTCAGATTGCACAGAAGCTGAGGCAGGCACTCAGCCGCTTTCCTGTGATGTAGAGAGTATCAAGTAGCCAACAATGAAGAACAACCCCGAAGTGCTTTTCTGATTTGGGGGCAATGCCAATAAACTTGTTAGCCTTTGCCAGCCAAAAAAAAAAAATAGTTGTGGGGAAAAAATGAATTATTTAAAATGTTTACTTTATCAGCCTCAATCCATAAGATAAGATTCTTTATCTTCAGTGCTCTACCCTTTGTATCATTATTTAAGTGAAAACAGCTAGAAAATGCTGTCAGTTGTAGGGTCTAAGTCATCTAACTGGTATGTTGCCAGGGACTTCATGAAGACTTGCATCTATCAGATGTTCTTCCAAAAACCCTTCATCAGTGTCAGAATTACAGTTTTAAGTGGGGAAGTAGACAAGCCTCAGAAAATGACTTTACTGCTCATTATATTCAATTTTGCTCTCTAGCAGTTCAGTAGCCAGGAGGAATTATATTTGTATGTTTCTGGTACATATTGATAATAATCTCCTGAACAAACACTTGTTCTAGGTTTTGCTTCCCATATGCAGCCATGGCAGGGGTCATAATGAGTCCCATTATGACTTCTAGTAAATATCATCCCTAATCCCCTTTCTTCTTTTCCTTATAACTAAACTTTCTTCTTGTGGCACAACACCTCAGAGCTTATGTCAAGGCTCTTTCTTTCTTGCTATGCACTGTGTAAAACGACAAAGTACAAACATAGAGCCATTCAGGATGGTGTGAAAAACAGTTTTCCATGCCAGCATTTTGACACCCACGCAATGTTATGCCATAAGGCACTGGTGTTCCTCAGTGCTGTACCTCTTAGAGAGTTTTAAGTGTTTCAGTGAAGGGGACACTGTCACATATAACACAAACTGATAGGAGTCCCCAAATTCCAACAGAGCTCAGGTTTTCACAAAGCAGTATGGTATGCTATTGGCTTGGGTTTACTTTTGTTACCTCCTGATGCAAACTAAAAGGTGACAAAGGTACTGAAGAATGTCAGTTATCACACAGACTCTGTGCTGTGATCATCGTCTCTTATCAAGTGCCCCGCTGTCATCTTTCTTACTACTGAAATATCACTTGAGGCCTGGGCTTTTTTGACCAAAAACCCCAGCCTCAATCCTGTTCAAGATGGGCACCAACTACAGTAATTCATTTAATGTCATAAGCAATCAGAAAAGCCAAAGTGCAATTTTTGCTAAAAATGTGCCTAGAACGTAAACATTTTAGCAAAAAGCTAATCTTAAAGCAAAGGCATTTTCCCACAAGCCATTCTAAGTGACGGGTACAGTCTGCTGGCTGAATAGTTGCCTTACTCTATTTCGCATTGGTGTTATTTTTGTGTGTTAGAAGGAAAATCTAGGTCTGCCTGAATAACCTGAAACCAAAATAAGCAAGACTTAAGCCTAAGTCCAGATGCTTCTCAGTGTCACGGGTCTTGTTCACGTTTTATAAACCTTGTCTTTTCCCCCTCCCAATTTTAGTTGTTTGCTTCCAAAATTCCATAGCGCAGTGTTGTTTGATACAGCCATTTAAATATGTACAAATTGTAAAGAATGTGTATAAATGTTTTACACCAAATGTAAGATCTGCTTGCATGTAGAAGCAGCTTATATAATAAATTGTTACAATGTGTACAGTAAATTCTGAAATCACTTTTTCAAGCCAGCATTTTTTTTAGCTTTTGTATATTCACTTTTTGGTAAGGATTTCTCTTTGTAACAGATTCTCAATTTGGGAGGGGGAACGGGGGTAAAAGACTTTTTTACCAATCTTTGAATAGCTCCATATGCACTACAGTTGAAGGTTCTTTATCTTGAATAGATTGTTTTGGAATTTAAGTGTAAGTTGTGCGTTCCCAGTGCAGGGAAGCTATGATAGTAGCAACTGTGTCAGAGATGCAACGTTTTGGCAAAAAAAGAAAAACTGTTTAAGGACTTCTAGTAAAAATGAAGTAAATGATAATAAATATTTATGTATACCCACAAGACTATTTTTTTTCTTTTAAATCACCACATTGCTTTTTAACAGGGTGAGGCAGAATGAGCAAAACCTCTTTATAAGCTTTTCATCAGCTTACGGGCACTGGCTAGTGGAAGAATGAAAAGGCATCCATGTGCCTTCCCTAAAGCAGGCACCAGAACATAATGGTGTAATAGTGCTAGTTGGCTGCCAAACAGCAAAAGCTATGCGTGTGTTGTAGGATTTCATTATTCAGGTCAGCCCAGCTCGTGGTTGATGGAGCCCTCCTGACTGCAAATAAGTAGGAGAGCACAGTGCTGCTGTGTATTCCTGGCTTTGTGTCAGCGTGGTGGTGACCCAGAATAGAAATTAGGTTGTCTTCGGTAGTTGTTTTTTTAATTAGACGTGAATAGTGGCATAGTTAAGTTGAGTGATTTGGGAGCAACAGAAAATCTTCACTCTGAAGACGCAGTCATAAAACAAAAACAACTTAGAGTAAGACTCAAGCAGTGCCCTTCAGTATTTCATTTGTCATAGCTGAATAACTAATCTCTGGAGTAGCAAAAAGCCTTAAAACTGTTTCCTGATTTACGCTTTTCCTGAAAGGTGAGACATATCCAAACAGTGACACCACCCCCAATGACTGTAAAACATGCCAAATGCCTTAGCTGTTTGGTTTAATTTTATAATTGTTTATTCTGTTACAAAGTTTATCATATAACAACAGAAAATTAGCTGTACAAAAGGAAGTGCTACATGTATTTCTTTCTTGTCTGCAGCAACACCTACCATGTCGGGAGTAGACTGCAGCAGTAGATGACTTTTTTTGGAAGAGTACTTACTGTCTATTGCAATTAGAATATTCTTTCATGTTATAATGAGGCTTGGCTTTGCATGAATATAGAAACTTGGGCATTACTGAGCCATTTGTTTTTCAATAACAAAGTTCTTCAGCAAGCATTACCTTATCCCACACTTTATACTGTGCATAATGATGAAATAATATACATGAATTTTACTGCTACCAATATCGATTTTGTACAGGGCAGCATGATGGTTCAGACTAAAAGCCTTATAAAGAAAGGCAGTGCATCTCCTGGGGTGTAATCTGAAATAACACCACACAGTCTGGGCGGGCCAAAACCACTCCACAGCCTTGTGGTGTGCATCCGTCTGCTGGAAGCAGAGGATGGCAAGCATCCTGCTCCTGCAGCTTCTGCCTGCCTCAGTGCTTCATGCTGAGATGGGTGAGCACGTGCCAGGGGAAGGTGAGTTATCTGCAGTTTTAGAGTTTTTTGTTTTCTCCACTGAATGTACTTTCCACATTTTTCTGTAAGTTTTCTTGTATAATTAGCACTAATGGCACTAATAAAATTGCAAACAAGCATGGAACAGTAGAGGTAATGTGTTCAGCAGGAAAAAAAAAAAAAAATCTAAAGAATCCTTAATGAAACCAATGTCATAGAATTAGAAACATACAGACTGGATGGAGAGCAACCTGTATGCCCCATACTATGACAGTATCAATTACAGCCAGACTATTTTAAAGGACACATGAGTCACAGATGCACACTGTGTATAACAGAGATTCCAGAACATGCCAGCATAGCCCTTTTCAGTAGGCCAGCATGTTACCACTTAGAAAGATTTCCCTTGCATCCATCACTTACCTAAGTTGTGTGTACATAAAATGCTACCTTTAAGCTTTTATTTTTTTCAGCTAGACAATGTTTAATAATACTTACGTATTAGATGTCTTACTATATCCCTTCAGGAATCTTTTTAACATAAGCCATCCTGTTTTAGTAATTTTTTCCTCATGTCAATGTGTATCACCTCTATTCCCAGGGGTGCATGAAACAAACAAAAAGGAGTGTACTTGAAACTTTTCTATGATACGTATGGTGAGATCTGTCCTCTGCCTTGTGCAAGCACTGTTATTACATTCCAGAGTGAGGACTGTAGTTCTCACCTTCTGCCATCTCATCACTTTATGGTATTAACTCCTGTGTTGCTCTGCTACAGTGCTGCCTGGCTGGGTGACTTCCATACAGTGTTCAAATACGACAGAGCTTTGTGCATTAAAACAAATGAAACATAACTCCCAGCCATGTTTCCAGTTCATGATACTCAGTTCTGTCTCTCTCTTCAACCCAGACCAACCTGAGATTTTTTTTTTAAGCTTTTGATAAGTTTATTAATAATTATATTCCAAGTAAGTCAATAAGTCAATTTTAAGTTTGTTTTATGCCTACCTGGTAGTCATCATATTTAGAATATGTTCTTTTAAATTTCTTATAGCACTTGAACGTGTGAAATCTCTCAAAATTAGTACTAAAACCCTTCTGTATTGTACTTCTATATTCCCTGCTTTTAGTTTGACTGGAAGATTAGTCTGAGGAATTTGACTGTTTACATTGATTCCTCTCAACAAACTCAGATTAGCCTTTTTTTTTTCCTAACATTTTTATCCTATGGCTATTTGCACATCAGTTGTTTAAGTATTGTTCTAGCATCCTTGGTGTACTGAATTTAAGCTGATGTAATTTATTTGTTTCATAAAGATAAGCAATGTGTTTACTTACTTTTAATTTCTGGGCATTTTAATCTTTCCTAATTGGTCATGTTTTCTTAAACTATCATAGACAGATTGTGGAGACTTTTAAGTACTACGCATTTGGGTTACTTTTCAGTTTTGATCCTGCCCCCAAGGCACTGGCCCAGAGGAACAGAGGACACACAATGTATCCGTGCACGTATGCAGCGAGGTGCAGTGCTCGTGCTAGGTAAGGAGGCTGAGCAGTCCCAGCGGGCTGACAAGGCTGTGCAGTGAGTGTGGCAAAGAAAGGCATCAACTTGGAAAGCAGAGCTGCCAAATGGGCTAGTAACCAGGCAGGGTCTTTGACCACGTAGCAGAATTGGTAAAAGGGAAGGAGGGCTACAGAAGAGAGTACATGTCATCAGGCAGCTCAGAAGAGGGTCGGCCGCAGCAGTGGAAAAGCATTGCCTGAAGCACTTGGACAGGCAGAGACTGTGACTCTGGAGTAAAATAAATAAATAGTCTCTTTTAGGGTTCTGACATCCTTGTTAGGGATTCCTGAAAAGATTCTCCCAAAGGCAGGCCAGAAGCAGTGAGAGATGGGGCGATGGTTAAGTTAACTTCTAGCTGTATGGGTGCCTGCCAGAAATAACTATGCTTTGGAGCCCTGGTGCATTTTCAGCCATGATACATTTCTTAGGAAAATGTTATTGTGTTGTACTACATAGAAGGGGTGTGCTTAAGATGTTGGGATAAAAAAGAAGGGGCGTCCCTGGTTCTGGAATTGTGGAGAAGGTGGGTTGTGTACACAGAGGGGTGACAACAGAAATGCTGTGTGTATAAACATGGCACTTGGTGCGGGGAAGGAGGAGCACGGCCTGTTACCAAAACCAAAAGTATCCTGGGACAGAAAGGTGCCTGGGGCACCTCCTCACCCTCTCTACCCCTTCAGCTGATACCTAACTCCAGAGCTCCTGGTAGTTTGTAAGGGTAAAGTTTCTGACACAAGCAAAAAGTACCTCTTAAATTGCCTGTCACCATGTCCACCCACATCCAGCTACAACTATATGATGCCTCAGTGACTAATGAAGTTGGTCACCCACAGGCACCTCGAAAATAGCAAGGCAGCAGACTGGAGTTTACATGATAGGGGCTGTCAAGAGCATGTTCTTATTCTTTCTGTGCTAAAGGAGAGGATAAAAGGACTGAAAATGGGACCTTTATAAGTAGAGGGGGTAGCCTTTCATTTGTAATCAATTATAGTAGAAGATCAGTCTGTTCAAAAAAAATGTTACATTTGTGGATGAAACGGGATGTTAAACACATCCTGATACTTCTAATGCAGAAGCTAAGTATCAGGCTTTCAGATTTGTGATCACATCAAGATAACTAGGTTACTTAAGGTACTCAAGGGCAGTTAAGGTACTCAGTGCTGTACTCTATAGCCCTTTGTATAATAGAGTGGTGGCATCTTAGAATCATAGAGTCATTAAGGTTGGGAAAGCCCTCCAAGATCATCTGGTCCAACCATCCCCCTACTACCAATATCACCCACTAAACCGCGTCCCTAAGCACCACGTCCAACCTTAAATACCCCCAGGGACAGTGACTCCACCACCTCCCTGGGCAACCCATCCCAGTGCCTGACTGCTCCTTCTGAGCAGAAATGACTCTTCATTTCCAACCTGAACCTCCTCTGGCACAACTTGAGGCCCTTTCCTCTAGTCCTACCACTAGGTATTTGTAAGAAAAGGCTGACCATTTCAGGTAGTTGTAGAGAGCAATAAGGTCTGTGAGAACTATGAATTACCCTAGGAAAATGATCAGGTTAAAATGATTAGCAAATATTTCTGTTTCAAGCCTAGCTCAACAAATCACGAACTCTTTGTAATGTTTGTAAATCTAGATAGAATTAAGAAGAGGTGAACTATCTTATGAGCTGAAAAAGGTAAGTAAAATGCATCCCTTCATTCTGGTTCCTCTTTGCTTAATCCTTTTTTGGGGGAAGAGTACCTCCCTGCTCCCATGTGATCCTTGTGCATTGTCTGCTCATCTAGCCCTTTCTGGACTTGTGAAAATTCATTGCATGCTTAATGTAAATTGCACTAGATTCAGTTTGCTAACATCTCTGATCTTGTGTCTCATAGGGCAGAAAGATGTCACTGTTGGCATGTTCTCACCATTTTGTAGGGCTGTCTTGAGTGCTTTGGTTGGCTTAAGGTTCCTTTCATAATATCCACAGTTACAACTGTACTAGGAACCTGAAAAAATTACTGGCAGTTCTCAAAGCCCCTTGAAATGTTTATATGAGAATCCTTCTCCCCCCCCACACACACACACTTTTTTCTTAGTTGCCACTATAATTTCTAATGACATGCTGGAAGCACAGACCTTCAGAAGCCCAGAACAAGACCCCCTGTTCATCTATTTTACTATTTTTAATGAAATTCTTTCCAAGCCAGACCCAGGGTCTCATCAAATTTGGTGCATCCAATAACTCAATGATTCACCAAGTTAAACTATTGCCAAAGGGGAAAGCACCTCAGAAGTGAGGGCTGTACGGGGGTCAGGGACAGCTTTCTAACTGATGATTCATTTGTGAGCAGCTGACTAGTATTTCTAAGCTCAGATTTTGTTTAAAAACTAAACAGCTGGAAGAGAAGTAAGAAGTTAAATATAGCATCTGATGCACTGTAGTAGCAAAATACAAACCACACAACTTGCTCTTGGGGGGAGCTGTGGAGCTTGACCCTTCCCCAGGAGGTTCCCTCGGATCCTGCTCCACAGGACTGCATCGCTCAGGATTCATTGTGCCTACGAAGAAAGATGAGAAGGAAGGAAGCTCTGCATTTGTCTTCCCTGTTTAAATAGCGACACTTTCCTGGCTGTTCCCCAAATGCACCTACCAAACATACAGCAAGGACTTTTTTCTCTGAGGCAAACCTTTGGGAAGAAGGTAGGAATAGAAAGCTTCTTCCCCAGCTTCAATGTGCTTATGTTTACTTGGCAATAGGTAAACTTTTCTAGTAAGAACTAGTGCCAGGCTAGCTGCTGCTTATAAACACAGCCTTCACTCTTGGCAGAAAGGAGAAGAGGAGGGGATTAAAAAAAAAAAAAAGCGTTCATGAAAGTCTCCCAAAATGTAAACCAAATCCACACTCAGTAAGAGGAAGTTGTTAGCTAAAGAATGCTATGGTGCAAAGTAAATCTCCAGCAGGGCTGTGTGGCTGCTATTCTAACGTGGTGCAAATCCAGCATGAGAAAAGGGCAACCTGCGAAGGCTGCACTGGTTTCAGAGGGGATTGAGGGTCTAGAATGGTTCCCAGAAGAGTTCAGAAAAGCTCTGTTTGTAGGTGCTGTCTGGCATCCCTCCTCTTTGAATGAGCTACTGCATTCATATTGTAATTATCTGGTGTTAGTGTCTGTAATAAAAGTGATTAGTAATAAACCTTTCTCTGGTATGGGGAAAGCCAAGGTGGACGTGTGTCACCTCTGTCTGCTTTCCCTCAGCCCCAGGACGCAGAGGCACCTGAGCTGCCCCACGTGCAGCCAAAGATCCTCCAAAGCCTTTGGGCTCTGCTCTGCGCCCTGTAACAGCAGCTGTGTGAGGTGGCTGCTGGCCAGGTCAGCCTTCTGAGCAGCAGCTGCTAGGACTGAACCAAGCTTTAGTTACCTTCTCATTTAGGAGGCATTTTAGACTCACAGAGCATCTCTGCTTTTATTCGGGCGCCCTATGAGCTCTCTGCCTCAGTCTTTCCATGTGGAAAAGCTCTGCACCAGTCCTGGCCCTTCTGTGTAGCTTGCAGTAAATCTCCAGGCTCAGACGAAGTTTATTTCCAATTGCTGGAAGGAGTAAAGAGAGAATTCAGCTGAACTCCTACCAAAATATGCAGAGAAAGCTACTCTGAAAGAAAAGCACATGAAAGCTGTTGTTCTTTTTAAAAACCACAGGTAGCAATCGCAGGGATGGCCAAGATGCCGCTCTCCCCATGCACCAGGATCACTACTAACAGAAAGTAAAGACCGGGGGAGCAACTGGACAGAAAGCAGCAGAGCACAAAGCAGGGAGAAGGGAGGGCTAGCAACGAAGAGCAAGGGTAATGGCAGTGGAAGGAGTGGGAAGCTTTTCCAGCCACACTCACAAGTCCCCTTTCCACTCTCCCTTGCTCTAATCATCCTGCTGGGATTATTCTGGCCTGCCCAGGTGCTGTGCTCACCCCTTCCCACACAAGATATCGGGAAGTCCTGAATTTTTTGGCTTTTTGGGACCAAAAGCCAGCAACTATCCTGGGAACAGAGTGCAGATCTCAGGGAACAATGGTTTCTCACCCCCCTTCTGCCCTGCAATTTCTGAGCCCCATTCCCTGGAGTAAAAGCAGGATAACAGCCTTGAAATTAGCTTAGCTGTAATTCCTGCAGCTTTCAATCAGCAGGGTCAGGGAGCCCAAGACTGGCCTACCCACCTAAGTGGGGTAAACACTTCTGCCACGTGTGCTGTGAGCAGTCCTCACAGCAGCAGGGATTGCAGGAGGACTACAGACAGTGCAATCCAAACCTTGTGCACTCTGGGGTAGGAATGGACTGTCCTTAGCCAACCTCAAACTCCCCTTATGCTTTGTATGTTAACAGCAGCCATGGCAAGGGTTAGAAGTACAAGCAAATCTTTCTACAAAAGCAATGCAAAATCTTTTTTACTGGAGCAGAACGGCACACCTAAACAAACAGCTCACGTTGTCAAAAAACAAATACTGACAAGCAAGCCAAATGAAAGCCTCTCTGCTCACTTGTACCACAGTCCGTGGATTTAACTGGTGCATTACGAATAATACAGCATACCAAAACAGTTGTTCAAATGACTCTAAACCATGGTATTTCCTCAGCACTTCTCTCTTCTGGTCTGTTCCCCTCACTCACACACGCTGTGCTATTTAGCCAGGCCCCCTTCACAGCAGTGCTGACAGAAACAGCAGCTCTTCCTGGAAAACTCCCCTTTGAGGAAAAGCAATGCTACTCACTCTGCACTCACCATGTAGATGCAAATAAACTGCAGGGCTGTTAAGTATCTCGTCTCCTTATCCAGATTGCTCCTTCTCCTACACGGCCTAGCACTTCTTCAGTTTACAGCTGGTGTTGTACTGAGGAACCCCACTGAGGTTGCTGGTTTGAGCTGGTTCACATTCACTGTCACTTCAAACTCCTCAGTCTAAGTCAGTTTGTCATACAGCTGCTGACAAGAAGAGGGACACTTGAGATTTATTGCCCAATGCCATTTTTACAAGCCTTATAGAAATTTACAGAAAATATTTGGGAAAAAAAAAACAAACAAACCTTAGTCTTTCAGGTAAATGAAAATGTTCTTCTTCCTTCACATTAATGTGTTATTACACTGCTTCTTGCTCCCCTAACTCTCTGGTCTGAAACTCATCCCAAATCTGAAAATTAATGGGCAGGGCTCTCTAAATCATGAGGCATAAATACCACAGAGCATCTGTTTATAGAATGAAATGAGAGGAACAGGCTTAACTTGAACTTAAAAGCACCACATATGTTGTACTGGAAACAAATAAAATGGAAAAAAATGTTGACACAATGTGATAATAGGAGAGAGAAGCTGCAAGCACAGGACAGTTTTGGTTGTTTTGCGAGGGTGACTGAATACATGGCATTTTTCTGTGTGGCTAATATCCAGTATACAACCAGATCTGGGTCCATTATCAAAGGCACTGTCTAGAAATCCTGTATTATAAGGAATAAACAGCAAAAAAACTGAACCTTGCATGTCAGGAATGTTTCCCATCAACCTTAGGTATGAGAATTGGGTTTCTGGATTATATGTAAGATTTGGGAAAAATTACCCTAATCACAGAGATAGGAGGCTCCTTTTGTCAGTGGTTGCAGGGTGGTGGTACTGTTGGGTACGGTTGTGCTCTTCCATGCTCCTGGCACAGATCACTGCTGCCACATGCTCTGTTTAAAGCAGTTTTAAAGAAAGACCTTGGAGACCTTTCTGAAGAAAACCACTGAAGAAGTAAAAGTGCTGATAATATATTCATCCACACAAGAGGAAGTATGAGTCAAAGAACAGCAGTATGCTTTTCTGCCTTGCATTCTCCAAAGTGGGTTACTAATTCTTCTGGAAAGCAGCGATCTCCTGCACTCTTGGTACAAATCCATGTCTCACAAGGTAAGCGCTTAGCTTCTAAAAACCTACTGATGTCACGATTTGATCACATAAAAGCGGTGCTCTCCAAACAGACCATTCTCTTCTCCTCCCTCCCCACCCCTTTTTTTTTCCTAAATATTTGAGCAAATCTGATTTTTTTTTGTCCTATTGGAAAATGCTACAAATGTAACTAGTAAGCAGTGAAAATAAATGCAGTTAAAGTGCTCCGTTATCCTCACAAGTGTTCAAGCAACTCCCACTAATGCTTATACATTGAAATTCTTCAAATATGTGCTCCCTCAAATGTCCAATTGCACTGAGGGCAGACTGTAAATAAGCTTTAAATAAATTAACGCTAATTAGAATCACATATTGAGCATGGAAGCTCCGTTGCCCTTGCCCTCTCTTCCCAACCCTCGTTTTTAAGTGCCTCATTGGAGGACCCATCTGCTCTTTATACTCCTCTTTTCTGATGTGTAGTCTGTGCATTGCCCAATGGAACAACTCATGGAAGATTCTTGTGTTAATGTTATTCATTTACACATGAATCTCAGTGAAAGGGAGCAGAAGCTAAAATTTTCTCAAGAAATCACATACTGTGCCATGAAAATCATCCCTGCGTATATGAAACCCTGCTGTGACTTGACTGGCTTTATTTTCTCCTCAACTTTTCCAATTTGGTATGACTTGGTTATCTAAAAAAAAATAATATACAAGCTTGTTTTCTGCTCTTTTTAATTATTTACATGTACATTAATCTTCTGTATCATAGTCAGCTTCTAGTTGTATCTGCGCCTTTTCTATCCTTGTATTCACCTGCTTGTCTGGCTAGCTGTAACACCTCAACAATGAAAGTCACAGATTCTAAACCACCAAGAAATCTCTACTCTTCCTTCTTACAAATACAGAGAATTAATAGAACAGCTCAGTTCTTATTTAGGATTTAATTTAGGCATGACTTTGCTGCATTGGGCCAGCATTTTGTCTCCTCCTGTACTCCGTAACACCAGTATGTGCCACATACTAGAGAAATGCCACACCAGGCAGTCTGCGATTGCATCTTTCTGAAATTTTCTTCATAGTTGGCTCACGGACAAGAGGAGGGCCTATTATGCCTTATCAAAACTATACACCTTGATATGGGTAATCACAAATCCGCTATCGCTGTTCACGATCAACAGAAGTGTGCACAATTTGTCAGAAGATAAAAAAGACCTTTTGCTCACCAGAAAAAAAGTGCCAACTTACAAGTGACATCTCTGTCCACATGGATATTGAGCAGTTCACTTTAAATCCGAACTTTCTCTTTTACCAAGCATCTTGGTTTTCCTATAAGGAGTTCCAGAAGTCTAGGCAAGAAGCTGTGGAAAACTTTGTGGCTTCCTAGTCCTTTGAACATGAGAGAGGAGTACCTACAACTAATCACAGGCATGTCAGTCTGGAAGAAAGAACAACATTTCTATCTGGGTGTCTGGTCACTATTACTGCCTGAAAAATGCCGCCTGCCTAATGCTGCTCATCTGCACATAGTTTTGGGATGAAGAACTTTAAGCTTTAAAACAGCTGCTGTTACTGAAAATAGTGCCTTAGGAAAAGGCTGGTCTGTGCGAATGCAGTGCCTGCCTCGCTAGATAGAGCTCTGGCTTAGCGCACACAGTTAAACTGCAAGTGCAAGAGGAGGTGAGAAATTCCTCTGACCTCCCACCAACACTTCACGCACAGCTTTTTCATTAGCAGCCTTTACAAAGGGTCAGCACTCCACCAGAGCATCCCTCGGCCACTGCTGGTACAAGTTCAGAGCCTGAATTCACAGCCCAGCCTTCTGCCCGTCCAGGACAGCCTGCGGCCGGGGAGGCTGAGTCTAAAGCCAGTTGGCTCCCAGTCCACCACCTTCAGCAGCTGAACCCGCGATGTTTGTTCACTTGGCGAGTCTCACCCAAGAAAGGTGCTGTGAGATTTAGCCTACTCACCTAGTTAAAGCTAGGCATATGTTTAAGTGCTCTGCTGAACTGGAAGAGCAGGTCTGCTTTATTAACCCACCCCTCTCCCTTCCAAATAATTGGTTAAAGGGTAACACCGATACAAAAATATTAGTATTAAGTTTCTTTTTCCTGCTGTACGGATCACAGACTGCAGGGGTGAGGAGTAAGGGATCCTCGTTGGGAAAGGCTGTAAACGAGGGGCATGTAGAAAATACTGCTGCTGTCTTAAGTGCAGAAAGTGTCTCTGCATCACTCCTCTTACGCTCCTGGCAAGGTCAAATGTTCCTTGTCAGCTTCTAAACAGACAAATAAAGCATGCTAATTTATCGCGTGTGCTTCCTACACTCCCCAGAGTTATTTTAAAGGAGATGTTGTTGACTTTGCTGAGAAACGGTGACCTAGCTCCAAGCACATCAAACTGTTTCTGTAACAAAGTACCAGATGTCTTTGCACACAAAGTTCTTTACACAGGCAAGACAAGCATAACCAACAAGAACAGAAACCTCTTCCCTCAATTTCACTGGGAACGTAAGAGGTGACAAAAAAACCCACAGCTACATTCAGAGCAACACTGGAGCACTTCAGCCTCCAAATTCTTCTCTGTGGCAAATTCAGCTTCAAATAACTCACTCCAATATCAACCAGAAAATGTGAAAACAATAAAAGGCTTTGCATATTAGCAATGCTAACTTATTGTTTTTGATGTCATGCAGGAAAAGCTAGGCTGAGATATTTCCCCTATTTCTTCTTTGCTCTGTGTAGTCACAAGTTTCTCGGAAAAAGGCAAAACCCAAAATATTTTCCATGACCTTGCAGGCGCACACATTTCCTGAGGAATTTGTGACCACTAAGGCCATTTGTGACCACATGTCAGGTGGCTGTAAATCTCCAGGAAATGCCCTCACAAATAATCTCTGATATTTGGTTTCAGAGCTTTAAAAAGAATTACCATTGCTTCTTTTTCCACACTGATTTTTGTTGGTTTCCACTGTATTTCAGCATTTTTTGCACAAGAGTCCCCCTGTTTGCATAGATCACTCAATAGCTCATAAAGACAAATGGGTTCATGGACATTCATCTGTTCCGTGCCCCAAAGCCTAAAATATGGAGCACACACGGCTCTTCCAGGCACCCTAGCAGACAGCTGGGCATAACACAGCCAGCTCTCCCTGGTTCTGCCCCACTCTGATTTTTAACACCTCTGCTGTTCCCCTTCTGTGCCCTTCTGACCGATGTACGTGATCCGTGTCTCTGGACCGATGTTCAAAGCCACCTGCTAACCAGCACGCAGGACTTGTTGTCATTAATGTGGTTATCCAGGCCTCGTAAACATCCATTTCCATAAGGACCTAGGAGTGGAAGTCATTAAATGCATAGCGTGTTTCAGAGGTAAACAAGGAGCTGGGGAGGTGAAGGGACTGAAAATAAGAGCGAAATGAGTAATGACTTAGAAGAAAATAGGAGTGTTCAGAAATCACAGCTGTCCATAGCAGCTGGGGTAACATCTGAATTTCTAATTACAGCAAAAGAACTGGGCTTAAAAATCTGTATAAATAAAGTGAATATATAATATTCAACACGCTTTGCCACAGGTGAGTTAACAGGAAGCAAACTTTATCAGCCGAACACTATCCTACCACAGAGGCTACCCTTCTAACATATCAGTGCTGCAATTTTGTTTGATTTGCCTTTCACATAACTGCGGTCAGCAAACAAGAGATCTTAAAAATTCCTCCCTGTCTGATAGGGAGATAGATAGGATTTCCCTCCCTCTCCTGCAGATACACGACTTGCAAACGGAGTTGGAAGGAAAACAGGAAAGCAAAGGAGTGTTACTGCTGTCAAGAGATAATCTACTCTTCAAACACTCCTGCTTTTCCCTGCATGCAGAACAGTTGAGTTAGCCCACTGGCCTGTTGCTTCTGTCAGCTAGAGGCAGCAGAGACATCAGGTAAATACTGAGAGGCAATCGTCTATGAGAACATTCAGACAGATAATGATGCAAAATATCTGTGGATGCTCAGAGGTAGAAAAGTGATTTCAAAAAAAAAAAAAGATGAGAATGTGAAGAGGGTCAAAGAAACTGATGCGATGAAACCATCAGAGCAAATGATTAAAGGAAAGAAAAAGTTCACTAAGAAAGGAAGATGAAATGAAAAAAATGCCAAGGAGTTGATAAAGGTTTATGGCCCATGTGAAAACAGCTGTTCTGGGAAAGAGAATGATTTCACCTGGGGGACTCCTCAGCTCAGGAATTAATCAGTTTCTATGTTAGTCACATACAAAAGCTCCATGGCAAAAGACAGCTCTGCTCCAAACATCACCTAAATGGTGAGCCATTAATCTCAATATTTTCACGTAAATATGGATTTTTGTGTTGAATGACGGTTGGTTTGGTTAGATGAAAAGATTTTGTCTGCCATAAAACACAGCAAAGAAAACTTTTGCATGCCCCCTTTGTATATCAATCAAGCCCCTCACTGTCCTTGGAGGTCTTCAAAAAAAAAAGGACATGGTCCTAGGCAACTTGCTCTTGGTGACCCTGCTTGAACAGGGGCATTGGATTAGGTGGGCACCAGAGGTCCCTTCCAGCCTCAGCCATTCTGTGATGTTTCTAAGGCAACTGACCTGTGAGATATCTAATTAACTGATTTACTGCTTTTTCAGTAATTGTGGCATCACTCCTTTAAAAACACATCTTTCTGTACTTTGGATGTTTGTATCCAGAACCCTCCAAAAAGGTCTGAAAATATCAGGTTAAAAAGGATTCTGTTAATGAGCTTTGTCAGTCATGCTGCTAAGGGGGTCCATTTTTCCACCTTCATCTGAGTTTTCCTCTTACATCTTAATTTCCTCACATACAATTGAGGTACTGAAAACAATATTATCCAAGGTGCACCAGTTCTTTCACTTCTAGTATTTTGTTCAACAACTCTGACAGTATGCTTTTTTATTAATAATCCTTAATTATGTGTTGTTGTGGTTTAACCGCAGCAGGCAGCTAAGCACCACCCAGCTGCTCTCACTCTCCCCAGCTGGGATGTGGTCTCCCACCTTTCTCATTCTCTTGAATGTGAAAGGTAAGAAGTGTGAGAACTTGTGGCTTGAGATAAAGACAGTTCACTAGGTAAAGCAAAAGCTGTGGTGTACAAGCAAAGAAAAACAAGGAATTCATTTGCTCCTTTCCATTGACAGGCAGGTATTCAGTTCTCCAGGAAAGCAGGGCTCGTCATGTCATGGTTTCTTGGGGAGACAAACACCATCACTCTGAATGTTCACCCCCTTCTTTACCCCAGCTTTTATTGTTGAACGTGACACCACACGGTGTGGGCCATCCCTCTGGTTATTCTGGATTCCCTGTCTCACTTGTGTATCCTTCCAGCAAACTCTGTGCACTCCCAGCCTCCTCGCTGGCAGGGCAGCATGAGAAGCTGAAAGATCCTTGACTGTGCAATCAGTGCTCTGCAACAACCAAAAACATCCGTATGTTTTCATATGTTATCATCACCAACTTCATAAAAAATCCCAAACACAGCACTCTACATGCCTCTGTGAAGAAAATTAACTTAACTAGGAGAATGATGTGTTCTCGTGAGTTGCTGCGAAAAGCACTACTAACAAAACTGCAAATGAATTACAAACATGGGCAAGAGTGACACGCCAGTGCCCTCAAAGTGATGGTTTGCTTTCATAATGGAGTTTAGAGGATGATGAAGAATCATTCCTCAAGGGCAAAAGAAACATCAAAAGAGACTTGTTGATATTTTTAAACACAGAAGTGAATGATCCAGGGCAACTTTTTAAAATCATATGATGCGGCTGTCTTTGGCAGCTCTGGTTATTTGAGCGATTCTTTCAGCATTTCATCAAAAGTAAGCACTTTATGAAAAGGGTTCACAGGGAAAGATGTAAAGAGATTCCCGGTGTGATTTTTCCGTAAGTCAGCTGCAAGAAAGCCATCTCTCTTCTGTTTAAAATTGTGTGTGATTAATTTGCACTCTTACATCCTCTGAGACCCCCAGACTTGGGGCAAGCTGCGTGCTCTCACTCACCACGCTTGTTTCATCCGTGTATAAACAGGATTACTCTTTCTGATGGAAAGCACATCGGATCGCCTCCCATCCGCACGTCCTTGCATGTGTGTGTGCCCAACCTCCTTGGTCTGTTCCTTATGGCTGAACTCCGCAAGCCCTGAGCCCTGCAAACACTTCATCCTCGGCGGTCTCGGCGTGGATTCGTGACAGGAATCCTGCGAAACTAATGAAAAAAACGTAGTGTTTTTACACGAAGGGGCACTGTTTTTGATGGTTGATCACACCAAAGGGGACAAGGGCGCCTTGCGGCCCCCCAAGCCCTGCTGCCAGGGGGCGTTTCTGAGGCGACGGGCGGGCGGGGAGCGCCTCAGCGCCATGGCGGGGCAGGCCCGGCCGCTCCGCTCCGCCCGGCTCGTCCTCCCCGCCCCGGCGGCTCCTACCTGTCCCCGGGGAGGAGGAGGAGGAGCTGCCGGCAGCCGGAGGGACAAAGTTGACTCTCGAAAAGTTTCCGAGGGACCGCGGGTGGGGAGGGGAAGGAAGGGCGATCCCGGGATCGGCAGCTCTCCGCCGTGCGCCGAGCCCCCATGGCGCTGAGCAAAGGGCTGCGGCTGCTCTGGAAGCAGGAGCCGGGGCCGAGCGCCCTGCTGGAGGCGCGCAGCCGCCGGGACTGCCTGTTGCTGGAGGCCGGCACCGTGGCGGCGCTCAGTAAGTGCGAAAAAAAAAAATAAATAAAACGAAAAATAAAGGGGAAGGTGTCGCGGTGGTGCCTGGTTTGGCACGCAGCGCTTACCTGCGCCTGCCGTCGTGGTGCGGAGGGGGGCTGTGGGGCTGTGGGCTGGCGCCCCCAAGGAAAGGGGTGAGGCTCAAACACTGCTTTTTTTTGGTAAAAAAACTGTCCGTACGTTGTGCTTGGTGCGATGCCGGTCACGTTGATCGCTGAGGAGAGCTACGGGGCGTGAGGGAGCTGAATCAGATCGTCCACGGCAGGCTGTGTGTGGCAGGACACCCAGGCCAAAATGCCCCATTTCCAGCTGTGAGGGGTTATATCAGCGGGGAGAGCCAACAGGGGCTGTGGGAAGCCAAATATTTGCGTCAGAACAAGCTCCAGGAGTGCCAATCTTTTGACCTGTCCTGATAAAGATGTTGTTATTGTCACAACCTGCATGTTTTTAATTGCTATGGGAATGTTGTGCTGTGTGATACGTTGGAGGTTCAGTTTCTTGTTAGATTCATTGGTGGCGGTGGACATTAATGTGCAGGAAAATGTTACATTTTTCTATATGTTTTGCTGTCCAAGTTTTAAATGAACTGTCAAAGTTACAGTTCTGGTAGTACTGACCAGCATTTTACCCACTTTCCCTGGTCCAAAAACGTGTGGACATTAAAACTCTCCATTGACATCAATGAATTTTGGTCTTTTGTTACTCTGATATAAATCCAAAGCAATTCCATCGTCTAAAGCCAATGTGCATGAATAATGCTGACAGACCAGCCTTCATCTAGCAACCACCAAGCCATTTGAATGAAAAGTAGTTGGGAAGATTATTTGTAATCTTACTTATTTAAGGAATCACCAACTTGAAACAGATGTTTCTTTCCCAGTGTTGCTATCCTCCATCTAAATAGCCGTAGCTAGAAGTGATTGGAGAATTGATACAGTCTTTTAAAAAATACACGTTAATTTGGTACCTGAATTTTGAAGTAATGGTCTGTGTGGTGGCTAGTGTAAAAGCTTGTTTCTCCTGCCTTTTGAAAGTCCAATGTCACCTCTTGAGATAACTGTAATCATCTATGCCTTGACATCCAGCCTACTCCATGTTAATAGCTTTGTTATTTTAATTCATCTGGTTTCTCTTCCTGCCTTGGTTTGTTCTTGTACTGTAGGAAGAGCTAGTTTGTCCAGTCGAGCCTGTTTAATTCATTTCTTCTCTTTATGAAGCAAAGGACCAGAAAAGGAGGGAAAACCCTCAGTAGGTATTGTGATGGTAAATTTACAAGAATTGCAAAGAGGAAACTCCGCAGCCAGGGTGACAACAGAAACAACACGAATTCTGTTTTGACTGGCTTTGGGTTGTTACTGGCCGTAAAACACCTCAGCAGAAGATTAACATTTCTGAATAGTGATGCAATATGATGGCCACACAATTTTCAGTGAAACAGTATTTTTAAGGACAGTAGGTTTTTTTCCCTTCTCCTTCTCATGATGACACTGTAGGGTAAAACATGCTGTTTTGAATTTAAAAGTAGATTTTGCAACCCTAAGGCTTCAGTCCTGTCCAGAAGGATCGGTGACAGCGTAAACAAATCTTCCAGGAATTCGCTGAAGTAGAACATCAGTGAGTAGCTCCTGTTACAGAAGAAACTTACAGTTGTGAAGATTAAGGAAAAATTGCCGTTGATTTAGAAGCTTTTGCTTACACAAGGGGGAATATAGGTACAAAATGCTGTGCTACTTTCAACACATTACAGTTTTAACACTTCATAGATGAACTGAACTCTATACTAAAGCTATAGTGCTGAAAATATAGTTATTTAACTTTATCATAGCAGGTGAAATGAAATCAACAGCCCCGTGCCTCTCCCGCGGCCTCGGTTGCAGGTAGAGCTGTGTGGTTCCCTGCTGGGGCGGGGGGAAATCAGGGCATGGCCTCGCGGGGCAGGGATGCAAAACCAGGAAGTGGCAGGTATTTACCTACGGACCAGAAAGCTGTTTCTGTGCTGTGTGTACAGTCAGTGTTTACAATTAGTTTTAGTTTTGTAATGATATGTACAAATATGTCACTGAGCAGAGTTTTTGAAATCAAACGTTAATACTTGTGCAAACATATTGTGAATATATTTCTGTGTGCTATCAAAAACAGGGAGCCCTACAGCGTGACTCATTTTACTCTTATGCCAGGATATTTATGCAACTAGTCTCCTTATTATATTTGTATTTCTAAAACTTACTACAATTTAAAAAAATATATATATATGTTTTTTTTTTAAGAAAAAAATCATATTTTTTTCTGTGGTTTAGTGATGTTCAAAACTTTTCATGTTTGTGGATTCCTACAAATCTTGTAGTAGAGATAATCCACTTGACAGAAGCCTTGCCTTTCTTTATTACGCTGTCAATGTTTCTGTGTTAATATATGTGATATACAACAGGAACCACATGGTCAGGTTCTAGGGACGTGATTTAGGGGCTTATTTCTATGTTCCTGACTGCCTGCAGACCCCAGGAGTGGGCAGTACAAACCTGGTATTTTTATTTTTATTTTTCTAAGTCCTTTCTTCTTTGGCTGTGAATAAATATACTCACATACAGGTATGAAAACATAATCCCTTACTAGAATCAGTATTTTCAATCTAATATAGAAAGCCGGTGAGCTGAGCTTTCCAAAATGCCCCTTTTTTGATTTCTTTGCAATGTTTTCAAGCAGACAAAAAATACGCTTTCTAGGAAATATATATGGTAAATATATTGCTTAACATTTTGAATATCCAGATTCTCTGAACTGTAACTCTGCCCACAGACTTCTTCCCAACCCTGTATTGCTCGATGTGTATGCTATTACATAATCCATCCTGACTTGCACAATGCCTACCTAGCTTGGACTGGATGTGGATGGGAAGACTTTAGCAGTGAAAGATTATGAACGTAAATGAAAATACAACAAAGTGCTTTGGGTTTGTCTGAGGATGACAGAAAACAGGAGCTGGAAGCAAGTTAATGATATGAACTCATATAACACCAGACATGGGATGTATTTCTACGTTACGGTGCTGGACATAGTAACAATTTTTACTTAAGTGTTTTTTTGTACAAAATTTGTTCAGTTATGTATTTATTCCTTCTCATAAAAAATCACACCTCTGTCACCAAAATGCTGAAAGAAACACAAATAAAGGAAACGAGCCCCTTGACACCCCTGTCATATCAATCCAATTGGATTCTACAGATACTTAGAAACACTTCAGAGCATGTATGCATGGCTGTACCTACGGCTAAGCAGGTGTCCAAATATTCCCAGAGTCAGGCTAAAGAAAAAGGGGAGAGACAGCATCTGTAAACCAGTCCCAGGCTTTTTTTATTAAAGAGCTCTTTCTGTGGTTTTACGTGGAAGTTGTAGGTGTTCCTGTGCCTGTCCTTAATGTTAGGCTTGGACTGGTGGTACCTCTCTGCCCCCTTCCTGCAGTCGTGGAGCTTCCTGGGCACCACATCTGAGAGCCCTGGTGGCACCTGCTGAAGCCTGGGAGATCAGCCCTAATTAAGGGTTGGATAAAGGAAACTGCATATGCCCAGCCAGTTCCTGCTAGCCATCAAATCGAATTTGCAGCCCATCTGAGCAGGAAGTCACGCTTGGATAGCAGGTATCTGTCTTCTCATGGTGTTTTCCTTTGGCTCTGAAACATTTTACGCTTTGAAAAAGGTCACTTTCAGCTGAGTTTATTATAACTTGTTTTGATTGAATTATTGTTCACCTTTTGTTTTGCAAGTTAGTAATTTCGCCTAAGATGCTAACCTTATATATAATTTACATCAGGAGATTTTAAATAATTAACATTAAAAAAGCGCTTGAGGAATGCACGCAGCATGCAGCTCTCTAACGCTGTTATGAACACACAACATGGTTGTAATTAGTGCAGAAGGGTGGATTCTCAATTATATGTTTAGTGGAAGGAAAGATTGCTAAAAAGTATTAGTGGGAAGCTTTTAGCGAAGTTTGGTAATTACCAGGTGTACTCTGTAGTACCTGAAGCCATTATTAAGCAATAAACAAATGCACCGTGTATTTGGAAAACTCAGCTTGTAAGTAGACATCTTTGTGGTGAATTTCAATAACTTCTGTAGCACCCAATTCCATTAACAATATATATATACATATATATATATTTCCATCTTTTTTTGTTTGAAAAAGGAAGGATTTTACCTGTGAGTAGAACGTAGTTAGACCTCCATTATTCATCCCAGGTTTTTAAGCAGACGGCACTCGTTGTCTCTGCATTTCAGGGCTTTTATGAAAGCTGTTACAGAATGAAAACTCTGACAATGGAAACTTCAACAGAAGAACACATATTTTTTTTGTTACTGATAAGAAAAGAGCTTTGTCTTGGGACATACCCAGCTGTCAAATGTTGTCACTAAGGCTGTATTTACAATATTGTTCAGCCTTGTCCAATATGTTTTATATTGTCCCTGTGTGTCAACAATCCTGTAGTATTTTTTCCCCTGAACTCTGCTCTTTGTTCAGTGAAGGCAATAGCACATAGGCTAGCGTTGTTCTGTTTCTAGTTACTCGCTTTCTGATGCTGTCTCTATTGTCCTAGTGTTGCTTGCAAATGGTCTAGGAGATGCGTAAGGCCAGGTTTTGGTGAAACTTGAGATTTCTTTTAGAAATTTTAAAGATTTTAAAATAGTTCTTTTTAATAATAAGCTATGAAACTGGCTCAAGCCACGTGTAATGTCCTTTAAAGTCAGGCTTTGGTCATCCTGTCAGTGTATCACTTTTTATAGTGGTTGTTGGGGATTCTCCCTCCTCCTCCCTCCAGAAAGACCAAGATGGGCTGGGATACGTGTGGATCCACCTAGGGCTCCCCAGCACTTGGAGGGAAGGCACTGTGCTCTGACCTGCCCACCATGAGGGCATGCAGGGAGATGGGGCTGAGCTGGGGGGCACGAGGGAGGAACGAGCCCCCCAGGCCTCGAGGGGCCATTTTGGAGGTCGTGCCAGGGGGCACTGTGCCTGACCCCTGCTGCGCGAGGCCTGGGCCCTGGCCCAAGCAGAAGGGCAGTGATCAAAGTGATTTCAGGAGTTTGTGAAGCACCTGGGTGTATAATGGGACTGGAGTCTTCAGTTTCTATAACAGATTGTATTTTTTTTTCCACACAAAATTTGGTCTCTGCACAGTAACGTACTGTGGGCTGTCTGCTTGCTGGGTGAGGCCTGGGGAGCGCGCTGCTCTCCAGGGGACACATGGAGGTGGTTGAGGGAAGATCTCTTTGTCTCTTCTTTGGTTTCTGAATCCAGATTGTTTCAGGGAGCAAAATGAACCCCAGAATAAACAACAGGATCTGCTATATGGTAGAAATGGTG